TCTCTCTCTCTCTCTCTCTCTCTCTCTCTCTCTCTTTCTCTCTCTCTCTCTCTCTCTCTCATACTGGGCATTAAAGTCAAGGATGCCCTCACACTGCACTATACTCACACCCTTTAAAAATTTTTGAAATAGGGTCTTTCTGTGTTACCGTAATTGGACTCTTAACTTTTGATCCTCCTGCCTGAGCCTCCCAAGTAGCTGGGATTACAGTGCACCAACATCCCCCAGAAAGATGGTGAATTCAGATTTGTGGTGTGGTATATTACGGTTATCTGGAGAAAGGTCCATAAAGCAGCTGATCCTAGGGCCTAGTGTTCAGAGAAAAATGTGAATCAGAAAAAAGTAGTTGGGAGGATTGCCAGTGGGAGTCCAGTCATTTATGTATCAGATTTCTTCTTTGTGATCCCAAAATAAACCAATGAGTGGGATAGAAAGTATAAAGATGGCCATGAGGGCAGGAACTCAGAACCATAATGGGAGGTAGTATCAAGGGGAATAGCTGTTGACCTCCAATAATAGATGGCACAGGGGAGAGGACACTGAGAGGTTGAAGAGAAGCCTTGTTGGTGAACCTTCCCATGGGGAGCTTTTCTCAGAGATAAATGTTTCTGTGGTGGGAGACAGAGGGGTGAAGGGATGGGGCAGGCAGGGGATGAGGGAAGAGATGCTGGTGCTGGGTGCTAGATAGTGAACATGAGCATAAGTGGCATAGAGGAGAAACATGGAGAGAGGGAAAAGGAAGCTAGGTTCAGGGGCTAGGATCTTGGAGTCTACTATTATAGACCTGGGCTTCTCTAGATACCCATAAACTTCAGATAGAGTATTGACAGCTGGGCCACAGGCACCTGAGCACTCATGACCCTGTCCATACCTCACCACCACTGTATCCCAGAGAACAGGTGCAGAATGCTGTGAGCAGGAACCATCTCCCAGGACTAAGTCCTCAGGAGGCAGTGCTCAAGTCACTGATGCTGTGGAAGATATTGACCTATCAAAGGCAGGCAGGGGCTATGCCTCACAGGGCAGCCTAAATGCTGGACCTGGTGATTTCTTATTCCCCCTGCCCTGCCTCTGCTGTTGCTTTAATCCCAGTTTGTCTCAAGGAAACAAGGTAATGCCCCACAGGCACCCAAGCTCTGCCCAGTGCCCTGGAAAGCTCTGTTGTCTGCCCTTGGGTTGGTCACTGTGGAATGAGAACAAAGGGGTTTCACACACACAACTCCTGTAGGTGTTTCACACACACACACACACACACACACACACGTGCACACACACACACGTGCACACACACAATTTTTGCTTACACATAAAATAGATTTCTTTTTTTTTTAATTTTTATTTATTTATGTGGGGGGGCAGCTCAGCCCACCAGGGGGCGGGGCGGGCTGGCATGTGGTGCTGGGGGATTGAACCGCGGTCCCTTTGTTTTTACTAAGCTTGTTCTAAGTAGGTGCTTTAGACCACTGAGCCATCTCACCAGCCCCATAAAATACATTTCTATAAACATTTTTGTGCATGAGACCCTCTGAGGCTACCAGGAAATGTAGGCTTCACTGCCTGCCGCAGACCTGTGGCACCTGGGCCACAGAGAGTTGTGATGAATGGCACCTGCTTTACTTCTTCCCATTTCCTGTTGTTCTTAGAGCTATTTATGTATTCCCTAGAAAGTGGAGAATTCTGGGTGCTTAGCCAACGCCAAATTCCTGGAATAAGAGACCAGGTCTGTGGATCTCAGCTCCTCCTTCTGAGAGTCTCAAAGGCTGTGACCAGCATCTTTAGTCCTTGCACCTTAGGGAGGTTGCACTGAGCTTCCTTTCAAGTCACATCAGCCCTCCTGTGTTCACCATGCTAACTCTTCACTCTGTCCTTGCCTCTCCTGAGGCATATAGGCTTGTCCTCTGCTGACCTTCCTGCCTTCCCCTGATAATCATGTCCCTTCAGACCCTTAGAGTGAGGTATTTTCCTGGCTAAAATTTTCTTTCTTTCGTTCGTTCTTTCTTTCTTTTTTTTTTTTTTTTTTTTCAGAACCGGGGATTGAACTCAGGCCCTTGTGCTTGCCAGGGAAGTGCTTATTCCACTGAGCCATCTCCCCGGCCCCTCTTTCTTTCTTTTGAGACAGGGTCTTGCTGTGTAGTTCAGGCCATCCTTGAACTCACAATATAGCCTGGGGGTAGCCTCAAACTCACGATAATATCCCTGCCTGGGCCTCCCAAGTGCTGGGATTACAGGTGTCTGCCACCACATCCAGCCCTGCCCCCACTTCTTAACTGAATCCCCCTCAACCACACAAGACATCCCAGGGGCCCTCATTGTGGAAGGGCCCTTTGTACCTAACCCCAGGCTTACTGCTCTCCTTAGGCAAATGTTCAATACAACATCCCAGTGTCCTCTGCCTCCCTTCCAACCATCAAAAGCTTGGGCCTCAGGGGCATCTCCTGCATTAGCCTGACCAACTTGGATGGCTCACCTACCTCACAGAAGGTGCTGCAATCTGTTGCCTACCACCTAGGCCCCCACCTGCAGAGCTTGTGCCTGGGTGGGGGCAGCCCCACAGAGGCATCCTTTGTAGCCCTGATCCAAGGATGCCCAGCCCTGCGTACCCTTGACCTCAGTGGCTGTAACAGCCTCTTCACATCAGGCATGCTGTTGGCTCAGCCTGAGACAGCACAGAATGTCCGGCAGGCATTGAGTGGCCTCTGTGAGCTCAATCTCGCTGGCCTGCGAGACCTGGATGACCTTAGCTTCAACCAGCTCAGCAGCTGTGTCCCCAACTTGGAGCGCCTCTCGTTGGCCTACTGCCACCTTACCTTCCAGCTAGATGCAGGTCAAGGCCCCATCAGCCCTCAGGACTCCTATTTCTGCAAACTCTCCTTCCACAATGTGCTCCGATTTATAAAAGAGCGAGCTGGCACACTGCATGCCCTGGACCTGAGTGGCACCGGCTTGCCACCTGAAGCTCTGCAGGCTTTGGGCCAGGTGGCTGGCCTGAAGCTGCAGGAACTGAGCTTGCATAACTGCTGGGAACTCTCCACAGACGCCGTGGCCACCCTGTGCCGCCAGCAACCAGGACTTACTTCTCTGGACCTCAGTGGCTGCTCAGAACTGACTGATGGGGCACTCTTGGCTGTGAGCCGAGGCCTGGGGCACCTGCAGCGCCTGAATCTGGGGAAGCTGCAGCAGCTGACAGATGCAGGGTGCACAGCCCTGGGGGGCCTGCGGGAGTTGCGGAGCCTAGACATGGCTGAATGCTGCCTGGTGAGTGGGCAGGGACTGGCCCAGGCCCTGGGCTCAGTGCATGGAGCTTCCTCACCGCTGACCACCCTCAGGCTGGCCTACTGTTCTTCACTGAAGGTGAGCACACCATCCTCTCTCTTTCAGGGCAGAGGCAGGGGAAGCTGGGCCTGCAGGTAGGGACTACCAGTGTTTACATCCAACGAGTACTAGTTACAACTGATCTTGGGCCACAGTCTGCAAGAATACAGCAACTCAGACAGAGGATGGTGTTGGTGTACCTCCCTAGAGCTGCCACTGTGGGCCCTAACGGGGATGCCAAGACAGCAAGGATGGCCTGGCCTGTGGGGTGGCCCAGTACCTCACTGGCCAAGTGACTGCTGCAGTCTTAGCAGGGGCACTGAGGACAAGTGTTTTTTCTAGCAGGAAGGCTGGAGAGGGGGACAATAGAAGGTAATGGCAGGGAAGAAGCCCTGAAGAAAGTGTTCGGACAAAGCCTGTGGGAGGTAATGTGTCATAGGGTATCAGGGCCATTTCCTGGCTGAAGCTAAGCCTTTGTTGGGTTCAACTCTGTCTCATTTGGCAGCATCTTTGCCTAAAAATTGTCAGTTTCTCTTTATTGGTTTGTTCCTTCAACCTATCACTGTGACAAGCACTTACCTAGCCTAAAACATCAACCTTGTCTTGAACCATCTCTTCTCTGACCATTCCATCTTCTGTTTGCTGCCAAAATCCCTTAGCTGCTCTCCAGGCCCTATGTTCCTGTGCCTCCACAGCTTCTTCTACACCTAAAACTGCCTTCCTCTGCTCTGTCCTTAGCTCCTACTGCCACCACCAGACTTCTAGCAGGTGGTGGCCCTTTCCACCACCACTACACAGTTGTGCTTCAAATTCTGGAGGGAGCACATCTCATTGGCTCAGCTAGGGTTAGCTGTTCACCCTGGCTCAGTGAGCTGTGGAGAAAATAGGCAGCTAGCTGCTTTAGAAGTTTGCACCAGTATTCTTCCTGCCCTAGCCATAGCACAGGGCTTTGTCCTTCAGCAAACTCCTCCAGGCATCCCATCCCCACAAACCACCTACTCTAAACTTTCACAACTAGCACAGGAACCTGGGCCCTCTGGCAGCTCCCTGTTGCCTTGGGGCAGAAACAGACCCCTGCCAAGCCTGTTAGCACAGGCACAAGCTGCTGTTCCAGCCTCTCCTCTCCACCTCCCTCCTAGGATGCCTCAGTGTTCTCTGTAATCTCAGCACTGGGTCTGACCCTCCGGGTGCTAGACTTGTCTTCCTGTGTGGCCCTCACCAACCGGACCATACAGGCCATCTGCACCTGCCTCACCCACCTCTCAGTCCTGCGCCTGGCCTGGTGCAAGGAACTCCAAGATTGGGGGCTTCTGGGGCTGCAGGAACCATCTGAGGAACCTGTACTGGGTCCTCAGGTGAGGATCTGGGTGGTCAGGGAGGGTGGGATGGCCCCTGGATTGTTTTGCTTTTCTGCTCCTTGAGTCTCTGTAGGAGCATTTCAGGGAGGCTAATTCAGGGAGGACTGAGGAAGAGGGTTTCTTCCCACAGCTGCACCCACAGCTAGAGCATCAGGCTTCAGACCACTTTCTCCAGCCGCTGGGACCTTCCCTGCTCATGTTACAGGCCTTGCAAGAGTTGGACCTCACAGCCTGCAGCAAGCTGACTGACACCAGTCTGGCCAAGGTGTGGCTAGGGATCCTGGGGCTGGAGCCTGGGGACTGGTCCAACCCATATCTTACTTGGAAAAATATTCCTTTCTGATTGGCTTCTGGTCACTTCCCTGAATGGAGACAGGGAACCTAGATAGGCTCTAGGTTCTGAGGTCTAATGCTGTATTTCATCAACTGGTTCTAATCCCTTTTCTGCAGGTGCTCCAGTTCACCCAGCTGAAGCAACTGTCACTGAGCCTATTACCAGCACTCACAGACATCGGTTTGGTGGCTGTGGCCAGGGGCTGCCCTAGCCTGGAGCGCTTGTCGCTGAGTCACTGCAGCTGCCTCAGTGATGAGGGCTGGGCCCAGGCAGCTGGGTTCTGGCCCAGGCTGCAGCACCTCGACCTATCCAGCTGCAGTCAGCTCACAGAGCAGTGAGTAGATCTGGTGACACATAGCAGGTGGAGCCCCAGTGCAGTGGTGGTTTACGGCCCCACCACAGGTCAGGCACTCAGCCAGTGGTCTTCCCACAGAACACTGGACACTATTAGGCAGGTGTGCAAGCAACTACGAGTACTGGATGTGGCCATGTGTCCTGGTATCAGTGTGGTGGCCATCCGGCGCTTCCAAGCCCAGCTGCCTCAGGTGACTTGTGTCCGGTCTCGTTTTGTGGGAGGGGCTGACCTGACCCTGACACTCTGAGGCCAGGTCAGTATCCAGCCCTGCAGCTCAGCCTCCTTCACCCCATAGTCCCAACCCAGGACTGTGGACCTGGAGTTTTCCCCAGTGCCTCTTGCCTCTCTCTGCTAGACTTCTTGTCTTGGAATGGAGGTGGGACCAACCCAGGGCAGCCAGAAGACTTCCTGCCCTGGCCTTCCCCACAGCTGGGCAGCAGTCTGTCTTCAGCTACATGTCACTGCCACAGGCCCCTGGAAATGCCAGCTACATGTGGCTGCCACAGATTCCTCCTGTATTCATTCTGCTCCCTTGAGGCACTGTTCCAGCTCCCACAAGCACCAAGCTTTAGCAGCCAAGTTAATTTTACTGTAAACCCAAACAAGATTAAAAATTCTGGATCTTGCCTCTTGTCTGAAGTTCTCTTCAGATCCTTCCCCACCTCAGTTGACCCAGAGCCCCACAGGTGCCCCATGATGGTCTCAGGGCTGGTCCACACTAACCCAATCAGGTCCCAGCTTCTTCCCCACATGGTAGGAGGCTGAGGCCTTTCCCTGCACAACACCCTGACATACAAAGGCCTTTGTCTCAAGCCAGAGCCCAAGAGAAACTGATTAATGATGCCTGATTCAATGAGGAAGTCATGAAAGGAACGGGGGGGGGGGGGAGCAATAGTGGCATCTCTGCATGGAGGGGTCATTAGAGGTCATCTAGCCCAACTCCCTAAAGTGCCAGTGATTTCTCAAGAGGAGCTCTGAGAAAGTCTGCTCGTCTTTCATACATTCCCACACACCGTCCATGTGCTCATCAGTTCTAAGAGAAGCTAGCTGGTACTCTATGGGTACATGTGGCAGGCACTGTGCTTCATAAAGGGATTTAGGGATGCCAAAGCTCTCTTGGGTTCCTCTCAGGCTATCCGGGCAGGCAACTAAGCCAACAGGCAGTCATTCCAATATGTAAGATGTACAGTGTACAGAAAACAAATACCTGGGGCCAGGGCACCAATGAACTTGACCTAGAGGTTCAAGAAAGGAATTGAGGCACTGAGAAATGGGCCTAAGGGAGGGACGGGGAGCAATCCAGGCAGAAAGACCTATGGGGGTGCACATAGGTAGCTAGAGCTGGCACTGGACAGGTGTAGAGAGGATGCCATCTTGGACCAACCAGCAAAATCCTTACAAGGATGGGCTCTCAGTTAAAAGGGCCAAGTTACAAAGTGTTTGCAACCCATCCAGCTCAGCATAGTGCTCAATCATGGCAACCTGGACCATTAACCTATGGATGTAGGAAGACACTGAAGAGTATAGGATGTGTGTGTGTGTGTGTGTGTGTGTGTGTGTCTGTCTGTCTGTCTGCACACATGCACCTGTGTAATCATATTCAGTTTATGTTTGAGAAAGCAATTGGAGCAGCCAGTATTGAGATGATTGGAAGAACAAGACTAAAGATGATGGTGGCTTGGGCAAGGGACTAGAAAGGAATTAACAGTATTGGCAGACCTAACAGGATTTGGGATCCTGCCTCTAATTTCCACCTTGAACCCAACAGCAGGCTGTTGTGAGTGGAGGAAAGTCTCAGAACCTGGATGCCTAGGGGTCCGAAGTATAGCTGAGGGATGAGAAGGTGCTACCCCAGTACGTTCTATGAAACCGGTGCCATTTCATCAGGTTCCAAGGTAAAAGACTGATGGTTAACACCGTTAAACCATATTTTTGGAGGAATTGGAAGGTAGGGAGTGGCATGGAGAAAGAAGTCAGGGTGGGGGCAACTTTCAACCTCCCTTGTGGATTTTTTTTTGGGGGGGAGGGTGGAACTGGAGATTGAACTCAGGCCCTTGTGCTTGCCATGCAAATGCTTATTCTGAGCCATTTCCCTGGCTCTGAGGTTTTTTTTTTTTTTTTGGCGGAACCAGGGATTGAATTCAGGCCCTCACGCTTGCCAGGCAAGAGCTTATCCTACTCAGTCATCTCCCCAGCCTCAACATCCCTTGTGAGTCCTCTGGGTTGGTGTGGTCTTCTTTGCATCTGGGACCTGAGGTCTGTGGTCACAGCCTGACCTCTAGGTGAGCCAAATATCCCTTGCCACTTCTGTCCTCAGGGGGTCTGGCTATCTGTGGCTCCCACATCATTCACACTCTTGGGTTAGGTTTTTTTTTTTTAAATTTTTTATTTGTGTGTGTGTGTGTGTGTGTGTGTGTGTGTGTGGCCAGCTCAGCCCACCAGGATGTGGTGCTGGGGGATTGAACCGCGGTCCCTGATGCTTTGCTAAGCTTGTTCTAAGTAGGTGCTTTAGACCACTGAGCCATCTCACCAGCCCTTGGGTTAGGTTTTAATCAGAATACAGGGTTTTCTGCATAGAATTCCCACATATCAGCATCACCCCGGATGTTTCCCCCAGACTGGGGATGCCCTTAGGAATCTAGAGCTTGCCCTTCGGTAGAAACCAGGTTCAACTTCACATCTTTCCCCCAAGTCCCACAGAGGACACAGAACACTGCCAAGAAAGATTAAGGACTAAAGTCACACTGTCAGGAGCCTTCTGAAGGCATGGCTTCCAGACTATGGGGGATAACCAGGAAGGCATCGATGTGGGCATTGCCTCCTACCCTGCTACTTCTCCCCAATCTGATGCCCAGAGACCATAGTTCATCTCTCCCTCTCTAGGACCAGCGCTGAAAGAGGCTGATGACTCATCTCAGAGAAGGTCAACAGTCTCAGCCTGGCCCTACTTTCCTCAGAACACCAGTGCCCCAAAGTAGCTACCAAGTTTGTGGACCCACTGATATCTTATTCACTAGCTAAGTCTGAAGACAGAAAGGGATGCCTGTCCCCATCTGTCACGGGATTGGCCCACAAGGTTCAGAGCTGGCTTGACACAGTATCTGAAGAACCAAGCAGACTTTATTACTGCTGCAGTCTTTGCTGATCAGGGTGCCTGTACTTCTCTACCTTCCACCCTTTGCAGTTGCTATAGCAGCAGCGGTAGCCTTGGCCAAACTCACAGTCAAGGTTCTGCAATAGTGCAATCATAGCAGAAGTTGAAGTTGGTGGGGGGCGGGGGCACAGGTGGTGGCTGGTCAGGGATGGGCACATTCTCCAGCTCCAACAGCCGCAGTTTGGTCTCCATGGTCAACAGCTGCTCTAGATCCAGCCGGGTCTGCTCGCTGCCCATAGGACTGCCTAGCAGGGCACTCAGCCCATCTGTCCATAAGTAGAACTAGGGACAGATAGAGGCAGGTCATGAGGGCCAGCTTATCTGTGTCCCCTGTCCATCAGCCCAACTCAGTCTGGTCCTGACACTCACATCCCGTTTGGAGGGGGCAATGAAGTTGAGGTATGCCTCTTCTTCACCACGGTCATAGCTGATGGAGAAAGCCAACTCATAGAGGTCCTAGGGAAGCAGGCAGTAGAGCCACTTAGCAGGGAATGGGGCAGGCAGGAAGAAGCTCCTGCTCTGCTACACTCACCTTGTTCTGCTTCCCAGAGCCCTTTTCCCGGACATGTGGGCAGTCCTTCCCTGTCAGGAGTGCCCTGATGTCGGCCACAGGGACTACAGAAAGAAGACTGGGCTGACAGGGGTACCCTAGGCAGCCCCAGGGAATGCAGTATCAGGGAGAAGTGGCCCTGCCAGTCTTACGCTGCTCAGGCAGGCTCTCTGGGGTGGGTACGCCAGTGCTTTCTTCTACATCACCATACTGAAGCACCTTGTGGTTGGGGGACAGGCAGCAGAACCATAGCTTGTCTGTGGGAAATGGGGAAGAAGGTAGCAGGCTAGGAAGGGCTCTCACCCCAGCCCAGCCACACCCCACCACTCTTTGCCCCACTCAGAGACCCTGGCGTCTCCGGCTGCTGATCTTGTGGAAAAGTGTCCCTTCACAGAGGCGGAGCAAACGCTGTTGGCGGATTAGTCCCAGGAGCTCTGGCTTCAGCTTCTCCCGCAGCTCCCTGGATGGGAGGTGGGGAGTCACTAACTAGGAATGATCTGGGATGTAGCCTACAGGTATATGGAAGGTGTAAGCCTACAGGCTTGTCTGGAAGGTATAAGCTAGGACTGTGGACCTATCCCAGAAACTCACAGTATGGGAGGAGCCAGTGTGCCCTCCTGGTGCAACCGTTCTGTCTGCCGCAGCCGCAGCACCTCCCCATAGGTGAGTGCATTAACCTTGGTCCGGAAGAGCTCCAAGGAGGTGGGCTTCAGGGCCAGTGTTCGGGCCAGTTGCTCCCGTACCACCTGCATGACCTGGGGCCACCTCAAGCTCAGCACAGGGCTTAATCTCTGGGCCCCTTTTCAGAACAGCCATCTGCCCTGGCCTCTCAGCTCCCATCCCACCCACCTTGTCAAAATCCTCCTGTGTGGCTCGCATCTCCTTCCATGTCTTATTCAACAGCTGGATGGCCACACAGAAGAGCTCATGGAAACTCTGGTCTTGGCCGAAGAACATGGGTGAGAAGTCTTGGGCTGTCTCAGAGCCTGGAACAGGGGGGCAGGAGGGGCTCAGGGAGAAAGTGTATACAGACCCTGGCCCTCTCTGCCCTTCTGATCCCTGGCCCTGGATACACTGTGCCCAGCCCCACTCACAAGGCTCCCCAACGTGGAGCAACTCGCACAGGAGCAAAGTCAGCTGGATGCTGCTCCGGGCAAAGGGGCACTCATGCTTGTCTTCTCGGCTGCTGTTCTCCAACACAAACTAGGATGGCAGGAGCAAAGAAAGGGGCAGAGTCTCAGCTAAGCCCATGGGGACCCTGCCAAGGGAGGATGCTGCCAACTCTCCCTCCCAACCTGTCACTAACCCGGCTATATGCACTGGGCGCCTGTCTAGAGAAGTAAAGCATGTTGTCGAGGGCCAGCAGGCCAGGGGGTACACGCTCCAGGTCCTGTGCTGGGTTGCTGTTCTGGGGGTGTGGAGGTGGGGTGGGAGCACAGGCAATTCAGGAAGGGCTTCAGCTCCTGGAACAACCACAGCCCCAGGGAGGTTGGGGTAGGGATTCTGGGAAAGGGTCACTCACAGAGAAGCCCAGTTTGCGGAACTCTCGAGCACAGAGGGAACGGCGACGGTCAGCACTCAGCCCAGTGCCCAAAGACTCGCCCTCTGGCTCAAAGGCAGCCTGGCGCAGGGCCTGGAGCTGGTCTCGCTGTTCCTGGGGTCAATGTTTTTTAGGGGGAGGGTATCAGGATGTCAGGACCATATAGTCTGGATGGGAGTGGAGCTCAGTGGTACTCCAGGCTACTGTTTTTTTGTTTTGTTTTTTATTTATTTTTTGCTGTACTGGGGATTGAACTCAGGACCCTGCACTTGCCAGGCAAGCACTTATTCTACTGAGCTATCTCCCTGGCCCATCCAGACTACTATGTATGAAGCCTGGAGTTCAATCCCGAGTACCTCACACACACATAAAAAAAAAAGATCACAGATTCAAAGCCAAGTCCAAATCATCTTCTGCCTGTGTCCCCTCTAAAGACAAACCTGGCTATAGGGGTCAACTGGTGTCCGCATGCGTGGCTCCAAAAGCCCCAGTGTAAGGGCCTGCAGCACATACAGGTGATGGGCCATCTCATCACCCAGTGGTGCTGCACTATGGATGATGTTCTGGAAGACAGGCAGGCTGTGGGCTTGATGGGAGAGGAGCCATGGGGAGGGGTCTCCCTGGAGTGGCCTTTCCTACCTTGTAGATGAACTGACGAAAGTTCCTTTGCCAGAGGTAGTCTAGCATGTGCTGAGGTAGATGGGAAGGGGACTTAGATGACTTAGTCCCGCAGTGAAACACAGTGCCTAGCAGCTGCTACCTCCCCATCCAGGTAATGGGTGGGTGCTCACCTTACGTTCTGCATGGTTGGCCCCCTGCAGCAAAGCTGTCAATAATGCCATGGCCTTGGTTTGCAGCTGTTGATTCATTCTGTGGAAAGAAGTGGGCAGGGATCAACTGAACATCTAGGGTCTACTGCTGCATCCCCCCATGTGTACCCTACCCCAGAGCCTTACACCTGCAGATGCACCAGCAGCCTATCCAGTGGCACTTCACTCTTGATCAGTTGGCCTAGGGCAGGGCTGCTCAAAGTCACACTCTCCAGCAGCCGGAGGGCCAGGGGCTGCACAGAGGCATCCATCAGGTTCATGTTCACATAGCACACCACCTGTAAGAGCAGTAGGGGGTTGGCCCCACCTTGCCAGAATAGACAGTCAGATCCTGGGACTGCCCTGTTGTTTCCACCCACTGCCCTTAGAAAAGCCCACTTACCTTTCTGACAAAGGGGATGCTGAGTGTCTCCCAGGATACTACACCATGCTCCATGAGCTCCAAGAAGGCCCTCAGCCCAAGGGCCAGCACCTCCCCTAGGCTGAGAGGTGAGGGAGACACCTGGGGCTAAGCAGGACCAGACCAGGATCCCAAGCCCCATCATGTCCTCCCAGCCCACCGAAGCCTTGTGCTCACTCATCCCCATCCTCAATGATTGTGCCCAGTCTCTGAAGACCATCACGGCTGATGACCTCCTGGGCAAAAGTCATATCTGAGGCCAACAGGACGAGGTGCCTCAGGGCTTCTCGGCGAACTTCACAACTTGTACTCTGCAGCCCACTCAACAACTGCTCGGCTTCAAGGTCCTGGCCAGGATGAGAACAGAAAGGAGGCTGGACAGAAAGCAGACAGCTTTCCACTAGGTGGCGCCCTGCTGGCTGGGGCCAGGGCCTCCAGACCTAGGGCAGAGGCCCACAGACAGAAAGGCGCAGTTGGCAGGGGCAGTCAGGAAAGAGGTGGGACCAAAAGGGACATTACTGGGGCAGTGCTGAGGCACAGGATGCTGCCATTCTTGATCTCTCCGCGGTTCTGGAGGAAAGAGCAAAAAGGAGGGCCAAGTCAAAGAGTGCTTTGAGGAATGGTCAACTGGATTGTCCTGAGGGCTTGAGGGGTGAGAAAAAGTTCACATTTCGAATATGAGTCTTTGGAATCAGGGTCAGGTGTGATGAGGGTTACAGGCTAGCATGTGGGGCTGGGTGGAGACTCACATTTTCGGTAATGTATCTCCTGTGCCCGTCAGCAAACTGCAGGGCGTAGCGATGGGAGTGAGTCAGGCTCCACCTGTAGGGCGCGGAAGCTCAGGAAGGCGGGCAGGGGCGCCTCGGGCCCCGCCCCTCCCCCACGGCCACCCCAGCCCTCCAAACTCACGCATCGCACACCTCCTTCAACACAGCAGCCAGGGGCTTTGCCTGCAAATGGAACTGTCACGCATGGAGCAGGAATGGGGACAATTTGGGGTGGGGACCTGAGGGAGTGGTAGAGTTGGCTACCCCGAGGGGGAAGGGAACGACCTAGAGGTGGGCAGCAGGGCGCATGGGGGCCTGACAGGCCAGGTGACCTGGTCCAGCTGGATGAGCTGCGGGATGGCATCACGCATCTGGACGGCAATCTTCACCACGTTCCGCGGGGGCGCCATGCTTCAGACAGCCGTGGCTGTGCTTTTCAACGCAACGCAACACCTCCTTCCCAGGGAGTACCTACTCTGGGGCCCCTAGACAGGTGTCCCTGTCTGCCACCTGGTCCCGGTGCCTCACAGTTACTGTCCAGAAAGTTCCCACTCGTGGCCAGGCGCTGCAGCCTTCCCAAGGGAGTCAGGGCTAGTTCCGGGTCGGAGTCCTGGGAGCTGGAGTGTGGGACGGTGCCTGCCTTGGTCCGCCCCGCTGGAGGCCCCGCCCCATGCCAAGGTGCAGCAGGTTGGGGGAGGGAGGGCAAGTTGCCGCACCTCTCATCCCAGCACGTGACCCACCCAGTCCCGCCACCAGTTCGGCACTGTCCCTGTGAGGCCCCAAAGAACCAGATCAGAGATAGCCTTAGGCATGGTCTTTATTCAATTGGATACTGTACAAATATTACAATTTCCTTTTGCTGCAAAAAGTATAAAAATAATCTTTATATAGGAATTCATTCGTTACTGTAAATCTTTCTAAATCTTTGTAAATGGCTCTAAATGTGAGTAAATGAATGAATGGAAATAAGAAGGAGGTTGGGCCAAGCCTCAGGGACCCACCGGCCCAGATTCCTAGACCTCATTTCCACCTTGTTAACACCCCTGCCCCACCCCAGGCCACCTGTAGGTTTCCAGGATTCAGGGCTCAGCAGAAGGGGGTGGGGGAGGGGGCACAGGAAAGCTTGGGTGAAGCTGTAGGGTGAGCAAGTAGGAAAGGAAGGCAAGGTGGTAGCTGGCAAGTGCCCAGCTTTACCCCCATGCTTCCCTACTAGGGGCGGGAGCAGCAGGAACAGGACAACTGGCTAGACAAGCTGTCCTATGCGGGCGCTGGCTGATCTGTGCCACTGGGTGGCAGCTGGCTGGGGCTGGGGAAGGTTCCAGAAAAGGAGAGGCAAACACTTTGGCTCCACGGTGGAAAGGACTGAGCTCCTTTCCCACTCTGCTAGCACAATGCCACTGCCAGGGCAAGAGTGGGAGGTGTGGCCAGAACCTTTAGGAGTGGAGAGGCTGGGGAAGCCAGGAGTCTGTGGCTCTAAAATTATGCAGGGGTTGGGGCAGCCCCAGGCAGTCCCAGCTCAGTCTGGGTCCTGGCCACACAGAGCATGTCCTCATCAGTCAGAGGTTGAGAACAGGCACGTCAAAGAGATCACAGACACCTTCACTCTCATCCAGGTTGTAGATGTAATCGTGGTCTCCAGGGGGAGGAGAAAGGCGGAGGAGGGGAGCAAACACTGCAGAGAGTACTAGACTGAGGGTCTGGGCCAAGACTCCATCCAGCAGTCACCCAACCTCGGGCCACAGCCAACCACCCACTCTCCCAGCCCCCACCCCACGGATACCCACCTTCTGAGGACATCAGCTCCTCCAGCAGCTCTGAGCTCATGCACTCTGAGAATGGAGAGAACTAAGTTACACTTAGGCTCCCATAAAAGTTCATGAAAGGGGCTCCCATTCTGCCTTACCCTTTACCCTGGGTACCAAGTGCAAAAATGTCCTCAGAAGGGCAAAAATAATAGCCATAGCACTCAATGAGCTATGTCCCTTATCCCTAGCCCCATGGTGGTACATGGCCTACCTCGTGCAGGGTCAAAGATTTCTGACAGCTCTTTGGGGAGTTCAAGAACTGAAAAAACAAGAAAGCTGTGCTCAAGGCAGAGGTTCAACCTGGCTCCACAAGAGCCCTCACCTACCTCAGATCCTAAACCACTCATCCCCATGGCTCCTCACAGCTGAGGAAATGTAGGCCCTGCCTGGAGCCAAGCTGCTGGAGCTGTTGGCCTCCTCTGCTAGAACTGAGTGACTCAGTTCTGAGCCGAGGGTACCAAAGGTCCATCACAGGGTACAGCCTCTACATCAGAGGCACTGCAGCTGTCAACAGACTCCCATCTCTCACTGGGCTGTGTGTGTGTCCTGTCTGATGGGAGATGCCCATCTGCTCCCACCTCTGCCGAGCACCTGCTACATGCCAGGCTGAGACAACATCCCGGAACAAGTAACATCGCAGAGATGAAGTACACACTATGTAGGGGATACTACTACAGGGTGATGACCCCATTACAAGTCTCTGACCAAGAGAACACATATGGGAAACTGAGGAAAAAGAAACTGAAGAGGATCATGAGTGACATCTTCCGTTAAACTTAGCTCAGACTTTTTTCCCAAAAGACACTGAGGAGCCATTGAATGTAGATGTATGCACACGTGTGTGCTAGTGATTGAACCCAGAGCCTCTCACATGAACAGTATACATTCTACCAATAAATTATATTCCAGCCATGAAAGCACTTGCTTTTTTGAACCCAGAGCCTTCATACTGAGCTATATTTCTAGCCCTCGAAAAAAATTTTTCAGCAGTGTCTTGCTAAACTGCCCAAGCTGGGCTAAAACTTCTAATACTACTGCCTCAGCCTCCACAGTGCTTGGATTAGAGGTCTATACCGCCACAACTGGCCCTGAAGGCACTTGCCATAGGGTTACCTTTCAGAAAGATTATTCTGTCAGTCAGGGTAAAGAGGATACAGATAAGTCTAGAATCTAGGTGGCCCCTGAGTGCTGAAGATATAAGACAATAAGAGATGTCTCACACAGAACTCATTTAGCCAATGTCCACAGGTGGCAAGAGAGAGAACTGGGTTAACATACAAGTGTCAAATGGTAGAGTACCCACAGAAATGGAAATGCAAATTTCAAAATGAAATGGGTTCACAAACAAGGGACTCACTGGAGATACAGAAGACAGCAGTAGGGACAGAAGTGTGGAGATCAGGCAACACATCTAGACAGACCAGAGCTCGGGCTCCTCCCAGGTGCAAAATGGCACACAGCCCTACAAGAACCAATGGTTAAGCAAGTGTCAGGGAGAGATGCAAAAGAAGCAAGTGAGGTAGAAGAGTGAGGACTCCTCATTCAACCCCAAAACAGAAAGAGTATCGGCAGGGAGCAAAAGAGCATCAGACCCAAGCCACTCGCGAACCTGCTAGATTCAGCACCTCGTCGACAGCACTGCTGCATGCAGCACTGGGACAGGATCCTACCAGATTCAATTGGAGGATGAGCAGGAGACCAAGACGGACAGGAATAGAAGTCAGAAATAGAAAATAGAAATTAGAAGAGACAGGGAAGATGAGATGGAACACAGGAGCAAGTGTCAATTAGTGAGGTGAGAGGCTCAGTGACACCCCAAGGGGTGGAAGGCAGGGCTTGAGATGGGGTTCCACACTGGTCCTAGCTAGCAGAACTTTGGTATCAGACAAAGGTTGACAGAGGAGATTCTGTGTCTGGCCTAGCACTGGGCTGAGGCTACACTCTCCTTGCTGCTCTCAGTGGGGCAGTTACTCACCACCTGTGGGGTCCACTTTGATGGGCTCAAAGGAGGTAGACGGGTTGGGTTCAGATGAACTGCTAGTGCTGCTGCTGCTGCTGCTGCTACTGCTGCTGCTGTCCAGCAGGGCAGAAGACTGCAGTGGTCGGGTGTCTAGCACTGCTGGGCCCAGCGGGAGCGAACTGAGTTCACCACTGTCCTTGCTCTCAGTTCCAGGGCAGACACTCACTGCAACCACATCCCCAAACCCAGTTACATGGGGACAGAAAATGGGTCACTGAAACTGGCTGGACTAAAAACCACAGCCAGAACGACCGTAGTACTTCTGGCTCCTAGACCAAGGAATCAGGCACTGCCAGTCAGCCCAGACAGAGAGGAAAACTAGAAATGAGTCAATGAAGGGAACAAAGCCTGCAGGAGGAAAGTTCTTGGACAAGGGTCCAAGTGGGGCTATGAGGGTACATAAGTCTCGGCAGATCTAGTTTTGGAAGAAACTGCCACCAAGTGCTTCTTTATACTCACAGTTTCCCTGTTTAAAGGGCTCATTCACTGTCACAGCAGGGGGGTGGGGGTGGGACAGGGAACAGGGCAAAGCCAACTCTGACAGTCTCTTCCAAGCCTGACTGTGATGCTCCACAATACTACTGCCTCTGGGGCCCCAGAAGATAAACCCATCATCACCAGCTGCCCACTGTGCCTTACCTGTGACCTCAGCTGCTGGGCCAGCCACCCCCGGGACTTCAGTGCTTTCAGGAACAGGAGTAGAGGTGGTTAGCTGGGGACTGCTTGGACGTGAGACTTCCTGAGGCTGGACTAAGGCAGGTTTGGGCAGTGGTGGAGGGGTAGAAACAGCAGATGAGCTCTGGAGCAGATCTTCAGGAGGTGGCACAGGAACAGCCACAGGTGGTGAACTCCATGCCTCCTTGTTAACCAGCAGTACCTCAATGGGTCCACTCACACTCTTCAGATGAATCTGGTATTTCTTCTGTCCATTGAGACCCTGGAGGTAGGAGATGAGGGACAACTAGAACTGCAAGCAGGTATGGCTCTGCTTTATTCTGGGTCAGGCCAGTGTCCTCTCCCACTCAGGCTACCCATCCTCCTAGATAACCCCAAGCCTCAGGCCTCCCCCTACCTGCTCCACCCGGGCCTTATCAGGCTCCACAGCCAGCACCCGCCCTCACAACCAGCTGACATTGCCTGGCTAGGCTAAGCACCCACCTCTGGGATGGGCACCTCCAGACTGGTGCCTGATGGGGCCCGGATGGCCAGGAGAGTGTCTCCTAAAACAAGAAGGACAATGGGTTAGGACCATGAGCTCAATTTGAGCTCAAAATAGAGATGCTTTCCCCCAGGAACAAGACAGGAGACCACAGTCTCTAAGGGACTAAATAGTAGGCATCTCTCATTCCCACAACAGCTGGCCACAAACACCTCACTCCTCAATTGATGATGCTGATCCTTTGGAAATAGGTATTCTGGTCGAGTCTGGGGTATACAAGAGGGAATGGAAAGGGATCAGCTCCTATATCCACAATGAAACTTAACTAAGTTGAAAGTGGGAGCTCCTGCCTCCTGCATATGGTCATGAGAACGTGTACACACATAAAAGGGTCCTTTTTCTTTCTCTTTCCTTTGTGCTTCTGTCATGCCCAAACAACCAAACCCAGAGCACAATGCTCCTGGGGCAAACCCAAGGTCCCATCCCAGGATGTCTGCACTCTCTCAGTGTAGTTGGCCTCTAATCAAGTCAAACGCAAACCAAGGACTTACCCTGCCTGGTACCTCTTTGGATAGGCCCCAGGAACCCTCTTAAGAGGTGGAACTCTCCTTACAGCTCAATGAAAAGAGCTGTGGCTCAGCCCAGGCCCACCCCCAGTTTCCCCTACCCAGGCTCTGCTCACCAGCAAAGCATCTGCAGATGTCTTCATGAGTCACGTAGGCCAAGGTATGGGGGGTTAAGGAGAATGGCCAATGCCCTGCTAGTGTCACATGGCAGACCATGGAGGAGACCCAACTCTTTAAAACAAGCCTGACACACAAGCCCTCAGAGAAAGTTCTGGAGCCTAGATTACACATGAGGAGGGATCACAGGCTAAGACTGGAGAATAAAGGTCTCTAAAGAAAGGGCCGAAAGCTAAAACGTAGGTATGGGATGCAGGATCATATTCCCAAGAGGGACAAGGCTCAGGGTACCACACAACAAACCCAGCTGGGCCCCTTTTCCACTCCCCCAGACCAGGGACCACCAGGAGGATATCAGCTGTTCTGCACGTCCTCTGTGACATTCCGGATGCTCTGCTGCACCCACACCTTGTGCTGGTCAAGTTCTTGCTCTCGCTGTTGCAGATCTTCGATCTCTGCCTTGAGCTCAATCAGCTTGTCAGCAATCTCCCGGGTATTGCAGCCAGGCCCCACGCCCCTGAGCCGAGGAGGTAAGCCTGAGAGGGGCGGCTGAGAATTCCAGGTCCCATGGCCCCTGCTGTCCCCTGCACCCTCCACCCACGCTCCCCCCTCCCCCCTGCAGGCTGCTCTTTCACACATGGTTCCACTCACTTCCACTGGATGCTGTTCTTGGATTTTTTCTCGATCAGCCCAATACCTTCCAACACGTTAGTAATGTCGTAAATCCGCCGTTTCTGCCGCACAGCTAGGGTGTCAGCTGCCTGGCAGACAAAAAAGAGTGGTGCATTTTCAGCCCCACTCCGGGGTATACCCCTGTTATATTGGGGTGGTCTGGGAGGAGAGTTCCCTAGGTCCCAACCCACAGCGCCTCTACCGCACTACAGCAGCTCTGGACCGCAGGGTGGAAAGACACCTGGGTATTGTGATACTTTTTCAAACCCCATGTCAGCCAGGAAGGGCCACGAAGGCCAGCACCTGCAACCCCGAGTGCGACACGTAGTTCACGCTCAACGGCTTCGGCAAAATGAATGAAAGCCCCCGGAGCCTCTTTCATGCGAGAACGTACATGGGTGGCGGGCGTCCCTAATAGGACTCCGCGAGGCCAGCCCGGGAGTCCTCGCTACCAGCCACGGACTGGCCCACAGGCCCCCCGCCCCGTCGCCCCTCAGCCCAGGCCGCACCAGTTTGAGGTCAAGCACGCCGTCCTTGGCTTCCTGTAGAAGCGACACGAACTTGGTAGTGAGAAGTCCCAGACTCTTCTCGTGCCGGCTTGGGGTGCCCGGGGGCGGCGGGGCCTGAGGCCCGGCCTCCGCCATCGCACCCGCCCGCCCGCCGCCTCCCCTGAGCCAGGCCAGGCCAAGGCCGGCGCCGGCGCCACTTCCGCTTCCGTTCCTGGCCACCAAGCCGCCGGAACCTCCAGCGCTGCTTCCTCTTCCGCCCTGCACCGGTTCAGGGAACGTAGCACAATTCCTATCTGTATTCAGGGACGTAAAGCTCCCGGGGCCATCGGCAAATGTCTAACCGTAGAAGAAGAGAAGGCCGGGCGTGGTGGCCATCTCTGTAATCCTAACACTCCGGAGACCAAGGAAAGGCGCATCAGAGACTAGATGAATCTGGTGCACACCAGTACTGACTCAGAGCTCCAGCTGTGAGAATTCATCCGCCAGTACACCTGGGAGTTGGGAAATGAGGGCCTCTGTCTGAAAGGGTCGACCTGAAAGGTGCACTCTATAGTCCATTTCAGGGCTGTCTGTCACTCAAGATCAACACAACTATCACAATCCCTGCCAGGCCACCCCCCACTATCGCCCCTCTCCCCAACACCCATGATCTGTGTACACAGAGATGTATGCAGAGGTGCACATCCTCCTCCGACAGCCCAACTGCACAGTTTTCATGCAGCGGTGTTGTCTGCATCCACGTCTCACACTTCACCAAGGTGGAGGCCAACTTCATATCTCTGTCCTCAGCACTAAAAGGTCCAAGGTGGGTGATCAAGAATTGATGATTTAAAAAAAAAAAAAAGAATTGATGATTGAAGGAAAAGAAAGAAGGGACAAGGAAGAAGAAGGAGAAGGAGAAGGAGAAGAAGGAAGAGGAGGAGGAGGAGAAAAAATGGAAACAAAGCTTTTGTAAGGAAGGGAGGGTAATGGGGAAAAAAAGAAGCAAGGTATATCAGGTACAGGTTCAAATTTCCTATGATGAACGTTATATATATCTAAAAATAAAGATACCAATAAAAAGCACATACACAGGAAAAAAAAATTTGTCATCATAGGAGTTCAACCCTTCCCCCACCCCTCCGGAAGTAGTGCCCAGCCCTCCCCATTTCAGTGCGGATGCTCTTCCCTGCTGGGAATAAAGCACCAGAAACTCAGCTTCCTTCCTTTCTGCTTTGGGGAAGGAGGGGCCTTGGAGAAAAGAAGGGGTTTCTGGGCTAGGAAGTGAGGGAAAAGCTTCCTTGGGGAGAGGAATTCTTCTGCTGTGGGCCAAAGCAGCTGAAGCCACGCAGGCCCCAGTAGCAGTGGAGGGCATTGCCAGCTCTGCAGAGGGGCAAAGGCCATTCTCTCAGCCAAGGCTGCCACTAGAGGAGTGAGAACGGGACCCCTGGTCAAGTCTGGTAAGTCTTTTCCCAGACTATCCTGGACATCTCAGAGCAGAAACAGAGTCTTGGAATTGGTGAAGCCTGTTTTCACTCTGCCTCACGTGGCATAACCCAGAATCCCAATGGGCACAGGCCTGCCAGGTGCCTCCCCATCACACCCACCACTCTGTCATTTCCTGAGGGTCTGGGAAAGCACCTACCTCTTTTCTCAGAAGGGCTGAGGCAGAGGCAGCAGCCCAGAATACTCATTCTGCTCTAACCCTTGTCCCCACTCCCACCTTAGCTCCAGGCCTGTTATGGATTCATCAATTAAGGACAAAATGCAGCCCACACTTCCCTCTGGTATGAGCCCTTTTGGGTGGGCTGAGGGAGGGTTGATGGCAAGAAAGAAGTGAATGGTGGAGTTGGGTCCCTTCTGCCAGGTCTGGCTGGAGCTTTATAGGACAATGAGGAGTGTTCCTGTCCTAGGGAAAGGCTGAGGACTAGGATAGGAAGTAGGGTCAGTGACAAAACTTTCTGACTGACAAGGCCACCCAGGCTCTTCCTGTCCAGGGCCTGAATGGCCAGAGCAGGACAGAGCAGAGCAGCTGGCCAGAGGTGCAGCACTCAAGTGGGCCTCAGGCATCTTCTACCGGCCAGAGCAACTGGCCCGTCTGGGCCAGTACCGCAGCCGTGAGGTGCAACGTACCTGTTTCCTGGAAGCACGCCTCAAGGTGGGCATGGGAAGGGGGCAGCAGTGCTGGGGTAGGCTTCAGGGCTGTCCAGGACTCATTTGCTACATCTCTCCACAGTCAGTGGTGCAGTCATACCTGGAAGGTGTGCAAACTGGTGTGTGGCAGCTGTCCCAGGCTCTTGGGGCTGTGCAGGGAGTCCATGAGGCCTTGAGCCAGGCCCATGGGTTGATCCAAGGCCTGGCTCAGGCCTCAAAGTCCCTAGAGGCCCTGCGGGAGCAGGTTACTCAACACAAACAACTGCAGGCCCTGTCTCAGTTGCTGCCCCGGCTGCAGGCAGGTGAGTTTGCAGAAAGCTTTCAACAGTCAGCCCATAAACATCCATCATTGATCAAAGGGCTGGGGCACTGGTAAGAGACTGCATGGAGACAATCTAGGTATCCCAGGCTGGCCTTGAACACACAAAGGGTCCTAGGGGCATATGAAGCAGAAGGCAAAATCAACTTATCCTGGGATTGTCACACATGGGATGTTTGAATCAGAATGGACTCCTGTCATATTGCTCTGGCCACCCTGGTTGTTCATATGTTGAAATGACTGGGAAAAGTCAGGTATCATGACACACCTTGTGATCCCAGAACTCCAGGGGCTGAGGGAAGATGATTTCCAAGAGTTCAAGGCCAGGCTGGATACCTAGTGAATCCAAAGCCAGCCTGAACTACACAGGGGCACTCTGTCTCAAAAAAAAAAAAAAAAAAAAGAGGAGGGGCTGGGGTTATAACTCAGTGGTGGAGCAAGTGCTTAGCACGTGTGTGGCCCCAACATATTTTTCGAGCAGGATAACTGAACATCGACTAGCGTAGCTTCCAGTTTTTTTCTGCCTTCTCTCCAGTATCTTTTGAATTTTTATATTCCACAGTTCAATGATTTCCATCTCACTCACCAAGCCTCTAGAACTTTGTCTGAATCTTTTCAGATTGCCCAATTCTTTACTATAATAGTTATTACATATTTTATAGATCCTGCAGTCTCAGGGCCTCAGTATCCCTTATTGTACCCATTAAATAGGTGAGAAGGCTGAGACCCAAGGCTGTTTCCTTTCCTTCACTAGTGCCTGCTTCAGTGACCCACACAAAGATGCTGATCGATGCCCAACAACTCTTGGAGGCATATGTGAGCCTGCGGGAGCTGGAGCAGCTACAAGAGGAGGCATGGGTATCCTTGGGGGGCCTAGAGTTGCCAGTCTTCCAGGGCCTGGGCCTTTTGGCTGAGGCAATGGGCCATGCTGTGGAGGAAGCTGCAGGGGCTGCAGGACAGCTGGCACGGACAGATCCAGCCTTACTCGTGGCTGCTATTCGGGTAGCAGAGATGGAGGCTAGGCGCACACCTCCACAGAGACGGGGCCCTCGAGACTGGCAGCGGCGCTGTCTGCAGGCATTACAAGCAGGCCTGGAGCAGGTCCACTTTGGAACAACTGTGCTGCCTAAGCCAGGGGCCCTAGCAGAGTGGCTAAAGGCTTTGCAGGTAGCTCTGCCTGCTGAGTTGGCCACAGCTGAGGCGCTAGTAGCACCTTGCTGCCCACCATATTACAATGTGATCAGGCTATGGTCCCACACCCTGCATAATGGCCTGCGCCGCAGCCTGCAGCAACTCCTCAAAGGACCTGAGCTGGGAGCTACCGATGCCTTCACCTTGCTGCACTGGGCACTGCACGTGTACCCGGGGTCAGTGTCCTGGGGTCAGTAAGAAGTGGGAGGACTAGAGGCTGGGGGCTCAGTGTGATGCTGGGCCACCTATCTCCAGAAAGGAAATGATGGGGAGCCTGGAGTTGGGGCCTGAGGCTGATGTGTCCCAGCTGGAGCCCCTCTTGACCTCAGAGAACATTGAGAAGCTGGAGGCAACATTTGTGGTTAAAGTCCAGGTGAGTAGTTGGGGCACAGAGAGATTCTTTGTCCACTGGCTGTGACATCTATTGGTAGACTCCTACGTCTATCTCTGTCAGGGTCATTGCCATCCTATGTCCCATCCACTGTCCCTTGCCTTTTGACCCAGGCAAGTGTGGCTCAGTGGCTACAGAAGGCACTGGATGGGGAGGTAGGTGAGTGGAGCCGGGAGCAGGAGCCCAACACAGACCCTTCTGGCTTCTACCACTCACCAATGCCAGCCATCGTATTGCAGGTGGGTGGGAAAGTGATCAGGCAGGTGGGCAGCCCCCATAGGGAAGCAGGAAGAGGGCAGGACTATAGGAGCTTTGCTGATGACTGCCTGTACCTCTCTGTAGATCCTGGCTGAGAACATTCATCTGGCCGGCATGGTCAGTGAGTCACTGCAGCACCGGGTTCATGGCATGGCACTGTCAGAACTGGGCACATTCCTAAAGAGGTCTGGCAAGCATGCACCCACTTCCAACCCTCAGTCTACTCCCAGGGCATCCCCAAAGGCCTCTGAATGGGGAGGACACACCAGTTGGGAAAGGTTCCTCCAAATAAGTACTTGGAAATGGGATGGGAGTGTGGGGACTGGGCCTATACAGGTATGAAAGTAGCAACAAACCCAGAAGCCATTCTGCCCATTGCAGCTTCAGTGATGCTCTGATCCAATTTTCCCAAGACCACCTCAGTGGGGAAGCCCTGGCTGCTCATTATGTGTCCTACCTACTGGCTGCCCTCAACCACCAATCAGAACTGAGGTACTAGAAGCCCCTCACTCCCAGAAAAAGCTACCTTCGCTAACCCCTACTTGGTTCTTAGTATGTATGGTTCCACACACACTAGGCCACTAGGAACTCAGCCCAAGTAGCTCAGGTTTTTGCTTTGTTTTTTTAATTCTTGATCTTGCACTTGCCAGGCAGGCACTTATGCCGCTGATCTATATACCCAGGTAGGTCAGGGGTTCTAACTGTAGTTTGGAATTACTAGTTGTGTGTCCTTGGGAGAGTTTCCTACCTGAATCTCACTTTTTCATTAGTATTATGTGGGCAATAATGGACTGGTCTGTGAATTTCATAAAGTAAACGGATATGAGGCACACACAGTGGCAATTACTTGTCCTGTCAGCAAATATTTATCAAGACTCCACTCTATGCCAAGTAAAGTCTGAGGTTACTATTGTGAATAAAACAAAAACTTGCCTTCCTCTTGGGGGCTGAGCTGCTTGCGGTAGATACAGGGAAGACAGGCAGATTGATTTTTATCCTCTTATGGATGAGGAAACACAGAATGAGTGATTTGCTAATGGTCACATCATGAATTGGAGGCAGGTTCCGCCTGGCTGTGTCTCTCATAGCTGCTGAACGCATCCCTTCTAGCCTTGACAGATGACCTTAGATCTCAGAATTCCCGGGTACTCCCTTTCCCGCCCCCCACCTGCCACACACTTGCGCCACCAGGTGGCACCCTTAGTGACTGAACCACAAAGGGCCGTGCAGGCCTTGGCCTTGGTCCTGAAGTCGTACTTTTGGCCGGTCCAGCGCCTCACTGTCCATCCTGCACTTCGATGGAGTGGCTCCCGGGGTCTTGGCTCCGGTAGAAGCAGGGCTGGATGAGCTACAGAGGAGGATCTGCCGCCTGGTGTTGGAGGCTCTGCAGGTGGAGCTCCAGGTGAGGCTTCCTCTCCGTCGAAATGTGGGTGGGAGGCGGTGAGCCGGTGTGGGTAAGGAGGCCAGCAGGGACTGCCAGCTGTGCATTTCTCCAGCCCCGTCTGTGACCAACCTTTCTTCCCCAGCCTCTGTTCACGGCTCTGCCCTCGCGCCAATGGCTGTCAAGCTCTGAGTTGCTGGACCGTGTGTGCGAGCAGACGTCGAACTTCTGCCGGGACTTCCGGCGCATTCGGAATCCTGAAGTTCAGGTGCGCTGGGCGGAAAGGCTGCGACGGGGCGGGGTCGGGATGGAAAAGACGATCTAGACCTGTATCATCACATTCCCTGCAGGTGCTGCTGGCCGAGGCAGAGCGCACCGTGGTGGTGCAGTATCTACACGCGTTGATGCAGGGCCGCCTCGTGTGCCGCAGCGCGGATGAGCGGGCTCAGGCAGCCCAGTGCCTGCAGCACGATGCCGCCCAGTTTAAAGAGCTTTTCCTCAGTTTGGTGAGCGCTTGTTGGAGGGACAAGCTGGAGGATCTCTGTGGTGGGTAGGAGCGAAGGCTGGCTAAAAACCCGACCCCAACGTCCCCAGGGTCTGGAGGAGACAGCGCATTGCACGCCGGTACTGCTGGCGGTGAGGGAACTGCTGAACCTCTGCGACCCCACGCTGCTTGGTCTGGAGGTAGCAGGCTTGCAGCAACAATTTCCCGACGTGAGGTGCTGGGGGCCGCGACAGAGAGTGGGGAGGAGTCCCGGAGGGGAAGGGCGGGGCTGACCACCCCGGTGGCGTCCCCGCAGTGAGGACCACGTCTCCGCCCTCTTGGACCTGCGCGGGGACGTGTCCCGAGAGCAGCGCCAGGCGGCACTCAGCTCGCTGGAGACCGGTCCGTCGTCCTCGCCTCGCACCGGCCGCCGCGCACTCTTCAGCCTAGTGCCGGCGCCTACACCTGCGCTCTCCACCTGCCTCTCGGGGCTCTGCACCTGAGCTCCAACTCTGTAGCATAAAGCCACCCCTGCCCCTGTACGCCTGAAAATCTGTTTGGAAGAAGGCGGGTTGGGAGGGAGAAAATAAAAGTGCTGGTGGAGAGTTGTGTGTTCCAAGTACAGTGACACGCCGACGGTATCCTCGCCGCAGACGGCTGTACTGGTTGTGCACCTATCCACATCGGCACTCCGCATGGACTGCGGCCCGAAGCCGGGTACGCGGGGAGGGCCTCAAATATTCACGCCTCGGCCCTGAGGCGGTGTCTCTGCTGCCCCGGTACCTCTGCGGAGTCGCTGGGGAAGTCGGGAAAGGCGCGAAGGGGCGGGCCTACAGCAACACCCCCGCCCCGGGGCGCGGCGAGCTGCCAAACACCGACCACTCAGCCTTGTGGGCCGCGTCCGCGGTGGTCTTCGGTGAGCGCCGCTGAGGAAATAGACGTGAATCCGCGCGTCTTCTTGGGAGCGTGCGCGCGCCCGAGCGTGTGCGACCTCTGCGTCTTCTCTCGCGGGCTAGGAGGAGGGCGACTGGCTTTGCGGAACGGGAACCACGGGCGGCAAGAAGAGAAGCGAACAGGTGGGGGTGCGGCACGCGGACCTAGCTCCCCACTTGGACTGCAAAAGCCGAGACAAGGCTCGCTCGTGACACGACCCTTGATCTGCATGAAACCCCTTACTCCATTGTCTTCTGGCCCCGCCCTCCATTGGGCACGCTCTTTGCTGTCCTTTACTGCTTATTGGCTGCAGGTCACGCCCCTCGTGGGTCTCTCGCTCCCCATTGGCTTCTCTTTCTCGTTAGCCTCTCCCAAGGGTTCTTATTGGTGCAGGCCACACCCTCTTGTCACCAATCCCCGCCTTCAGTAGTCGGGACTCCTCCCCCACCCAACCTTCATTCATTCTGCATCGATTGCTGGGTACTTGGGATAAGAGGTGAGTCAAATCAGCCCCTGTCCTAAAGGATGGTAGGGGAACATGGACTTACACTCCACTGGTGATAACCTAGGGAGGTACAAAATGTATACCCATAGGGGAACTGGGACCCTTTAGATGCCGGAAAAGCATCCTGGGGGAGGTAGACCTAAACTGAAAGATGGTTGAACATTTACTCCAGGGAGACATTGTGAGGGCACTCTTAGTGGAAGGAGCGGAGACGCAAAAGAAACAGGCATGTTCAGGTAATTGAGAGGAGGTAGTTCCAGTGAAAGAAAGAGAAATGGAAGAGCCTGGCACAGGTAGCAGCTTGGAAACAAATGAAGAATCCAGGAAAGTGTGCATTTAGTTGAGGGGAATGAGGCTTGGGCCCTGAACTCTTTTTTAAGTAGCTGGTTACTAGGCAAGGTAGAGGCAAGGGGGAAGATCAGGCCTAGATGGAGAAGTGAAGTGCTGTTAAGAAAGATTCTAGTTTTTTTTTTTAATTTTTATTTATTTGTGTGTGTGTGTGTGTGTGTGTGTGTGGCCAGCTCAGCCCACCAGGGGGTGGGGCTGGCTGGCATGTGGTGTTGGGGGATTGAACTGCAGTCCCTGTGCTTTAGCTAAGCTTGTTCTAAGTAGGTGCCTTAGACCACTGAGCCATCTCACCAGCCCAAAGATTCTAGTTATGAGACAGGTTCTTATATTTATTTATTGAGCAGCTGCTCTAGGTTGGGTATTGTTCTGAGTTGTAGGGACACAACTGTGAACACTGGAAATGGGAAAATAGCTAACGATCAAATATATGAACATAAATTTTACTGCAGTATATTTCAGGTGACGATAACTTCTACAGGGAACAATAATTCCAGGGTAGGCAGAGTTGTGGCCACGGGTTAGGTGGTTGACCATTTTATAGAAGTGTGTTAGCAGGGCTTTTCTAGTAACATGGTTTTTGTGCAGAAATTGGAGGAAAGTGACCCATACCTTACGTGAGGAGAAAACTTTCTAGATAATATATTCACTTTGAGATACCTCTTAAAGAGCTCAAGGAGTAGTGTAAGGTTTTATTTATTTATTTATTTATTTGTTACAGGGTCTCCCTACGCAGCCTGTAGTGATCGTCCTGTTTTCAGCCTGCCCTGTGGTGGAATTACAGGTGTGCACCACCCCTCCTGGTCTCCATGGCTGGCTCAGCCAGAGTAGCACATGCCTGGGATCAAACCTGGTCCCTGAGCTTGCCTAAGCAGGCTTTTAATTCGCTGAGCTATCTCACTGGCCCCGAGGTTTTGTTTTTTGTTTTTTGTTTTTTTTTTTGAGATGGAGAAGTAATAGCACATATACATCCGGTAGATAAGAAAGAGGTTGATGATGTAGGAAAAAGGAGAAATGTTGGAATTGAGTTCTTGAGCAGGCAAGGGAACTTTGAGTCTGGAGCTACCAGTCAGTCTTTAGGAGCAGATTGGATTGGCACAGAGCCCTGACATAGAGTCAAGAGTAAGCACCCTAAAACTAGCCTTGGAGGGCCCTTGGAAAGATGGCTCCAGTAGGAGACAGGCCAGAGATTGGCTGGGATTTGCAGTTTTCCCTCTTCCTTCCAAAAGCAGATTGGATTTGAACAAATGGCTCAGAGGAGAGAGGGCATTTCAGGTGGGAGTTGGTGTAAGCAAGAAGCACACAAGCATTCCAACTGCCTGAGGCCAAATGGGCAATAGGATGTTTGTACAAGCAGGTGGGAGGGGTGGTGTGGGACTGAGAAGATGCCATATGTAGAAGGCAGCCTCTGGAGGCCGCTCACCTACACTCAGTCAGCTGAGTCTGCACCCTGCCAGTTCTCACACTGGGTAAGGACTGAGCACAGAGGTTAGAATCATGAGTAGGGCCTCAGTCCTCCAGAGCTCACAGACTAAGGGCATTCCAGTAAGCATCATCTAGGTAGGTGTATAAAACTCACCCTCTTGCTAGGCATGGTGACTCATACCTGTAATCCCAGCATTTGGGAGGCTGAGACAGGAGGATTACTGTGAGTTGGAGGCCAACCTGGGCTACAAGATGAGTTCAAGGCCATCCTGAACTAAAAAAGCAAGATCCTGTCATAAAAACCAAACCAACCAACCAAATACCCAAAATGAGAAATAACTTCTCCTTTTTGCTTTACTCAGCCTGGGCTACTTGACTGAGCCTGCTAGAAGGAATGGACTCTGTGGTGGGAGTGGGGCACAGCAGACCCTCATCCTCCAAGTGTCCAGAGGGTTCATGTGGAGCATAGGGTCTGCTGCTCCTCTGACCACCCCACTCATGCTGGTCTCCACATGTCCTTCTGTGTCTTCAGAGGTCAATAGTGCGGGGACTTGGAGCAGCCAGCTGGATGTGACCCCCAGGACAGAATGGTGCTGGACTCGGGGGCTCAGGTGTATGAGCGGGCACCTCCCAGCCCTCCTGCTAGTCCCCTGTCCCTGCGCCGTAGGCTGAAGCCCTCAGACCGAGATGGGCCACGGCTGTACCCCTGGCCTCAGTCCCTGGCTGTGCCGCTGGCTCTGGCAGGCCCCTCAGTGCTGCAGCTCCAGCCTGAACAGCAGTCTTTATCAAAGCTGCACTTGGGCTACCGTGGCCACATGCGTCGTAGTGAGAGCACCTACTCTGTAAATAGTACTGGTCAGCGGGGGCGTGGCAGCCAGGATCGTGCCCCACCTGGACGAGGACGGGACCCAGGTGGTGGGACCTTGCGACCTGCAGCTTCCTTGCCTCACATTGCTAAGACTCGAAGGAATGTAAGCAATGGAATTGGCAAGAGCCCCTGTATGTTGGTGGCCCTGAGGCCAACCAACATGGACTGTGAACGGGAAAAGTTCTTCCAGTCCCATTATACCTACAATCCACAGTTTGAGTACCAGGAGCCCATGCCTACAACTGTGCTAGAGAAGTACTGTGAAGCCTCTGAACAGTTCATCCATCAGGTGAGACCAGCTTGTCCTCCTCACCCTGGTCCTGACTTCTCAAGAGACCCAGGCTGACACAGCTACTATGGCTCTGTGTACAGGCAGTTGGCATCATTGAGGCTGTCCTGGAGAAGTTTGGCACCTACGAACGCTTTGAGGCTGCCACTGGGGGCCAGCTGCTGACCAAGTGCCAGATTTGGTCCACTGTGCGCAAATACATGCAGAAGGAGGGCTGTGTTGGGGAGGTGAGCTTACCCTGCCTGCAAGGCCCCTCCTTTGCATGCCTTAAGTTCAGATTGTGTGTTGGGTGCCCTAGGCTCAGCTGTACACCTGGCCAGGTGATTATTCCAGACAGACCCCTGTCTCTACCCCAGGAAGGTGGGAGCTGGCTCTGAGCAAGGGTGGTGAGGGTGGGTGTGTTAGCCAGTGCCCAGCCTGGCAACTTGGTGGCATGGGTGAGCCTGCCTGCAAACTGGCCCCAGGGCTGCTAGCCATGGCTCAGAGTACTGCCACCTGCAGATTGTGGTGCAGCTGAGTGAGGACCTGCTGTCCCAGGCAGTGATGATGGTGGAAAACAGCCGACCTACACTGGCCATCAACCTGACGGGAGCCCGCCAGTACTGGCTGGAGGGCATGCTGCGGCATGAGATAGGTCAGGCTGGGGGTGTGGTTGGGGGAGGGTAGGGATGAGCGTGGGGGGAGGTGATAAGGGTCCCAGTAACCCCCTCCTTTGTTTTTCCCCCTTCCCTCCGGAGGAGGACTGGCCCATTCCCTTCCTGAGCAGCTAGTTCTTCCCTCCTGTTCACAGAGGTAGGCCAGAACATGCCTACCCACTCTCTAGGCTCACCTTCATTTCTTGCTCCTTTGGCATATGGGTTTTTTCCTCCAATTTCTAATTTGCTTGACAGTGAGGGCAAGCCTTCTGAGGCATTAGCAGTCCAGAGGAAGAATCCTTCCAGCCAGAGGGAGAGTTCAGTGTGGGTGGGAGACCAGATCCTAGGAATAGAACTGCTTATGAAAACATAGAGCCCAGTTTAGGGGGGCATGTACCAGGGCAAGAAGTGGTTTTGTTGGGGGCATCGACATAACTGTCCAAATGATTGATATGGGCCATGCGGGTGTGGGGAATGGGTGGTGCATCTTCCTTCACTTTCTCTACGTGGGCTGGGGTGATATGAATTAGGGGAGTTTAAGAGTGTGTATCCCTGGACAGATTAGGGAGGATTTATGCTTTTAAGCCTGTATGGGTTCTTCAGTGTGGGTTCACCTGAGGAGGATCTCCGTGGCACCTGGGATTGGGTGAGTATGCATTTGTCTGGGGCTGGGGTAAATTTGTGTAAGAGAATGATTTGGAGGGCATTTCGATCTAAGAGTTGTTACAAGAGATCTGCCTTGTGTGTCCTTCAGCTGTCCCACTGCCTATCGTTGCCTCCTCCCCTTGCCTTCATTGCAGGCACCCACTACCTGCGAGGCGTGAATAATGCGCAACAGCCTTGGCACAACGCCGAGGGCCGGCTGCAGTATGGGCTGCGGCCAGCCAACCCCACTGAGGAGGGCCTGGCCAGCCTGCACAGTGTGCTGTTTCGTAAGCAGCCTTTCCTGTGGCGTGCAGCGCTGCTGTACTACACTATTCACCGTGCTGCACACATGTCCTTCCATCAGCTCTTCCAAGACTTAGCGCGCTATGTGCAGGATGCCAATGTGCGCTGGGAGTACTGTGTGCGCGCCAAGCGTGGCCAGACGGACACCTCCAAGCCAGGTGGGCACTGTGCAGGGGTGGGGCCTGATCTGGGCGGGGCAGGGGCTCTGGGACAAGGTCTCATCACCTCCGTCCTCACAGGCTGTTTCAGCAAGGATCAGGTGTACCTGGACGGCATTGTGCGCATTCTGCGGCACCGCCAAACCATCAATTTCCCGCTTTTGACCTCGCTGGGCAAGGTGAGGGGCTGTGAGCCTTCAGAGGCCTTGGTCAGCTAGTGCTCACTGGTGAGAGGGACATGGATGGAGGTTAGCAGAGGTGATAAAATGAGTCTGGCTGCCAAGAGCAGGTGCTTGACCTAGCCTTCAGGTTTGTGTGTAGATGTTACATTTCAAAGCCCAAAGGAACAATTAGGATGGTCTGTGGAAGAACACGAGAAATATCCAGGGATGAGTCCCTTGCGCTGGGCACTTGTGCCAGGCTGAGGAAAGCAGACGTCATCCAAAGCAGTGGGAAGCCATTGACACTTTAAGCAATCGTGTAGTGCAGGTATTTGCTTTAGAACACTCCCTCCGATGTCCCATGGGAGGTAGATTAGATATAGAGGCCTAGGCAGGTAGTGAAGGAACAAGAAGAGGAGCCTCTCCAATCACCTTTACCGCCTTGATTGTGATCTGGTCTGACTGGGCAGCAGCCCTGAGGCTGGAGAGGAGGAGGAAAACTAGAGAGATCTTTAAGCCAGGCCTGATGGCCTACGGCTGTAATCCCAGTACTTGGGGAGGCTGAGGCAGGAGGATCACTGTGAGTTTGAGGCCAGCCTGGACTACATAGTGAGTTCAAGACCAGCCTGAATTACACAGCAAGATTCCATTCTTTGTAGAGTGGAATCCCTTTATCTCAGCAGTTATCCTGACTGTATAGAGGGTGAGTCCAGAGACCCTCCCTGGAACATGACCTGGGTAACGGAAGATATGGAGCTGGCATAAGCTGAGGTCCTGGAGTGTTTGTTGGATATGAGGAGGTGCCTGGAAGATGTCCAGGGACCAATTGGATGCCCATGTCTGGAGACAAGGGGATTGACTGGGCTGGCGGGGAGTGAGGTGGTAAGTTGTAGGTAAGGTGATAAAAAAGCAAACACCCAGGACTCAGTCTAGTGGTATATAACATGGGTGTGCATCAGGAAGAGAAAAGGAAGAATCCAAGAAACAAATGGCCATGAGCCATCAGCAGAGCCAGGACCAGCTGCCTGAAAACCAAGGGGTTCCACCTAGCCCTGAGGCTTGGCTTCCTCCCTGCAGGTCTCCTATGAGGATGTGGACCATTTGCGGCCCTATGGGGTACTGGATAATACCCGAGTACCCCACTTCATGCAGGACTTGGAACGCTATCAGCAGCAACTGGAACACATCATGGCCACCAACCGCCTAGATGAAGCAGAGCTGGGCCGCTTACTGCCTGACTGATGTTGGTTAACAGCTCCAGGAAGAAGCTCTGGACAGAGGCCTCCATATTGGCTCCCAGAACATGAAGCTGTCTGCTCTGTGCTGCCACAGCCTAGGTGTTTCTTGGGGGCATGGGAGGCCAGGAGCATCGTGGGAGGACAAGCAGCAATATCAGAAGGTTTTTGTCCCTTGCTAGTGTGCCTGAGGCCTGTGGACCAGAAGCAGCATGTCAAGCAAAGTGTTTAGAAGGGGAGGCCTAGGAACAAGATGGATGCGAATTGATGGGGATTTGGGGTGGGAGTAGAAACTTGTTCTTGCATGAGATGGCTTTGGGTATTCAGTACTCCAATCTCTCCCTTCCTCCATCTGGCCCTTGGTGCTCCTTCAGCATTCATGCTGTCTACCTCTTACTGGGTCCTGGTGGTGGTTGGGATCTCTTCTCCTAGGGTGATTGCTTGAGCCTAGTGTCCTGTCTTTCACACAGACTCCAAGAGTAGGGGTCCATGGAGTAGAGACCCAGCTGGGCTGGGGTTTGCTTTCCGATATTTTGCCTCTCTCACTTGTCATGTATTTATTCTGTACTTATATGTCCAACTTCATGGGGCTGGGAGACAGTGACTCCTATAGGTTAAAAAGAGGGACAGGACACTCCTAGAAAGTACTAGTTGTTTCTAGCCCCATTCATTTTATACACACACACACACACACACACACACACACACACACTCACACTCACACTCACACACTCACACACTTCAGGCCTTGGGAGTCTGGCTCAAAAGTTTACCTGTGGTCCTGCCCCCACTCTTCCACTGGTCTCTGCTGTTCTTGTCTTTGCCCGGACTCTCACAGCTGGACTGTGGCATAGGTTGGCTTAGACTGATCAAGCCTGAGGGGCAGGCCCTAGGGCTTTTTGTCCCAGTCCTGAGCCCTTCCTAGACAAGGAGAGGTACAGAGCTGATTGTTGCTTCTAGTTTCACTTCAGTCAGCTATGTGCAATTGACTCAGTCCTTTTCCCTCCCTGGGCCTTAATTTTCCCATCTGTAAGACTCAGAAAAGTAGCAGAAAGTTCTTATTCATTTAGTCCATGTATATGTATAGAGCGCCTTGTGTGTACCACTTTCTGGTTTAAACCCTTACTAAGCTTCCAGTTCAGAGGGAAGCCAGACAATTAAAAGAACAGTCACAGTAATGTGTGTAGCTTCTGTCTACTCAAGGTGTCTTTCAGTTTCCTCTTTTTAATCTATCTGGGAGCTCTAAGCCTTCCCTAAGTGATAGAAGTCCCCTTTTCCTTACTACCTCAAGCTCAAGGTTTGGGGCCAGTGCCTACACAGGCCCCCAAATGGCTCATGAGAAGCGTGGTGGAGCAAGATCCAGGGGTCAGGTCCTTGTCCCTCTAGAGATCTGGGTCTGGGATTCCCTGGGTACAGCTTGGGCCACTGAGCACAGGAGGGACCTATGAACTGGGCAGTAGAGTTTGTTGGTCATGGGGCTGCCCAGGCCACTGGAACTCAGATATGTCCCCACCCTCAGTTCCTGGGAAAACAGCCAGAAAGCCTAGGTCCACTCTGACCCTCTGGAGTTTATTCACTTCCAACAGGCCAAATGGAGCCTTGGTGGCATCAAATGTAGCTCCAGCAGGGTCCTGGGCCCTGTCTAGCTGGGACTTCAGCTGCAAAGGACAGGTCAGCACTCTGACCTTCAGGAATCTAGAGGTGAAGGGAACAGTGGTCAAGGGGGGGGGTGGGCTGCACTGCACAAGCCTTGCCTTCCACCAGTCCACATAGGGTTTGGGCAGCCTCACATCTCAGATTCGTCCCCCTCAAAGTCAGGTTCGAGCTCTGGCTCTGGATCAGGCTCAGCCTCCAGTTCAGGTTCTGGCTCTGGCTCCAGCTCGGGCTCTGGCTCTGGTTCTGGATCCATCTCAGGTTCCTGTTCCGGCTCAGCCTCTTCAGAGGCCTCAGCTTCCAGATCTGGCTCCTCTGGAGTCTCTGGTTGCCTCACTCCGGAGTCTTCCGGATCCCTGGCTTCTTCGTGGTCTGAAGCTCTAGGCAACCCGGGATGTGGAGTCCCCGAACTGGGTGCCTCAGGCGTCCAGTGGCCTGGGCATGGAGGATCATAGCTGCGGTCGCGGTAGCCTGAGGTGGGAGTAGTAGTATCTCAGGCTCAGCTGATCCTCTGTCTCAATTTACCCTCTGTGGTTACCTTTGCAACACTCAGCTACTTCTTGGGGAGATGGACAGCTCCGTCCTCTGCTTAGCTTTTGCTCCACCCTAGACCACGCCCCCCCCCCCCGCACTCACCCGGGCCCACGAGCTGCCAGTCCCAGGCAGGGTCCGGCACGCGCACGGTTTGCTGGGCACAGCGCAGCAGCTCCTGGCAGGCAGCCTCGCCCTTGCTTTGCACCAGCAGCAGTAGGCGGCGCACCCTGCGCTCGGCGTCAGGCAGTGCATCCAGTGCCTCATACTCAGGCCCAGTGAGCACACCCCGTGCCACCAGCGCATCCAGTAATATCCCGGAGTCAGCCTGCAGTGTCTCTACTAGGCGTTTCCGCTCGCGGTCGATTGTCTCTGAAGGCCGCTCTTGCACATTACCCATTGTCGGGGCTGCACTAGGGAGGGAAAAAGAGGTAGGTGACAGCCTGGTCTAGCGACTCAGACTTTGTTCCCGGGGCCCCAGCACACAGAGGTGATGTGGCCTGCCTAAATTCACCTCAGCGGCTGGATAGCTCCGCAGTATAGGACCTGGAGGGGCCGCACAGAACTTGTCTTCTTGCCTCCTTAGCTGCTTCGGTCCTGCCTCCTCCTCAGGCTCCTCCTCCCCTCTCTAAACGTCACTGCCCGCTCCGCAGCCTGGACCTCCCTCCTGAGCTCCAGCTGCCTGTAAACTCTGTGACCATTTCAGACCTAGTTTATTCAAACTACCTTCTTTTCCACACCTGCTTTCCCCGTCTCAACAAACAGAAAAACCTAGGATTGCTCCTAGAATTGTAGCTTACAGTGGTTTTCCTAGCCAGCTGAATGTTTCTTTCCCCAACCTGTGTGCTTAGACTAGACTTACTTCCTGCTGGGACCTTGAAGAACCTAGGATTCAGGTGCCCTGCCTCCATAATCTCTCCTCCAGCCCCCTCTGCACCAAGTACAAACAGCCAAGAGCCTCCCTTTGCTTCTGTCACCTTAGTTTGACCTGAAGGTCCAACTTTCCAGAGCAGGCCCTGTTCCAGCATCCTTATTACCATCACCACATTGCAACCCCAAAGTGGTTCCATGTCCCTTTTTGGTTCCCAGATAGCTCAATTCTCCAAAATCCTACTTTGGACTAAGATCTGACATCACCTCAGATCTGTCTTCTTGCTGACCTGGGATAGCTCATAGCCATTTACTGCTTGATCTTGAAATACATAGGGTGCAGTTCATGAAAGCCATCAAGGAATGCTTGCTACATTCTACTTCTTTCTCCATGGAAGTCTCATTTTGAGAAATGTCTCTACCAATTAATAGGAACTATATAGAAATCAATATTTTGTTCATTTATTACCAGCCAAGAACTACAGCCCATTGCCAGCTCTCGACAATGAGAGGCAAAGAGGTCAGGCTATGGATCACTCTCATCTCTGCCCATTCATCTTATCTTGACTTTGTTCAGACAGCATCCTTCTAGGTCTCCTCTTCCCTTTAGTCTTTGTCTACCTCCTTTCCTTATCCATTTGGTCCTAACGTCCCAGATCTCTCTCTCTCTCTCTCTCTCTCTCTCTCTCTCTCTCTCTCTCTCTCTCTCAACTGGAGATTGAACTCAGGCTCTTGCACTTGCCAGGGAAGTGCTTATTCCACTGAGCCATCTCCCCGGCCCCCCAGGTCTCTCTCAATATCCCCTACAACAGTGATGGTGAAACTTTTAGAGTCTAGAGATAACAAACAACCTGCTGTGGCATACATCGCTCTTGTTCACTGCCCTAGTGTCATACTATGCTTACCCTGGTTGGTCACTTCATACCCTGCACCCCTCCAATTTTTCATATTTAAATATTGGACCTTCCTCTACGCCACCAGAGATCAGATCCCCGTTCACCTCCATGTTCCACTGATGACAGTGCCTCTCCGAGAGTCTCCCTTGACTTCTGCTTGTCAGTACTATCGTCATCACCTCATCTCCTGTCACCCCCTCTCAGGACCTCTCACTCTCATTCTACCATCCCCATCAGTGTGGTGGTGATGGCAACTCTGGGCTAGGATTTACTGTTGACATTTTACAAATTATATAAGCTTGGAGATCAAGTAGAGCCTGAACTATAAGGAAGTCTGTACAACACTATCAGGCCTAACCACCTATCTCCAACCCCAAGGCTCAAAGGAATCCAAACTATCTGGTCTGGCTACTCTAGCCACCTCTCACCACCCTGGGCAGCCAGGCTGTTCCTCACTTCCTTCCACATCTCAGTCATGGGAGGACACAGTATGTCTCTGTGACGTCTTCCATGCACCCCAGTGAATAGTATACACTCTCACCACTTCATGAACAGACCTCACTGCACTGCGCAAGAAGAGAGAGGGGTTAGCCCCTACTCTTTCAGATTTAGACAGGAAGAGCGGAGATTGGATTGGTCTGTCCTACTCCCTGCTTCTTAAGTGGTTCTGTAGTTAGCCTCTGATTACCCCCATTCCTGCCCTTTGTCTCATCCAGGGAACAGAGACTGGACCTGATTAGGGCATTGTTTTTGAGGTTCTCTTAGCTCTACGGTAAACAAAGTTTTGTTGCAGCCCGTTTTTTCAAAGGACAGACCCAAATGCTGCCCCCAGGGACCCAGTGTTCCCCCTTCAGACGGCGGTGCATACTGTTACTGCGAGAGTCTTGGGACGCGCGTGGGAGTCTCTGCGCATGCGCAACCACAAGGGTACCCTGACCTCTCCACCCAGTCCGGGACCTGCAGCCCTGCGGAAGGGCGGGACCCACTGACCTGTGAGCAGCCGATGGTGAGGCACAGCTTTTGCCCAATCTCAGTTTCCCTTCCCTCCCCCTCCGGTGGAGTGTGGATCCTGGTTCAGGCGGCCTCACTCACGAGTCGAGCCTCAGGAGGGCAGGAGATGACAGTGCAGAAAGGGCTCAGTGGGGTGGGGACGGGTGCAGCAGCTGTGGCAGGGGCGGGGCAGTCAGGGCTGCCGGGAACCGAGCGGAGGGGGCATTCTTCCAGGCACTGGAAGCCTGGCCACCAGGTTGGCACTGACTTGGACTAGGGACGGACCCGAAGTACACTTCAACCTACTGCCCCATGTGTCTACGTCAACGCCCAGGCAGTTTTTATCTATCCTCCTGCCCACCCCTCCCTCCTTTGATGAGGCTCAAAGAAGGAGACCGACTTGTCCAGGGATACAGAGCACATGCTCTGTGGAGCTGAATGTAGGGACCTCCACTGCAGTGACCATGGATCAGCCCTGAATTCATGCAGGATTGCTAACGTCAGCTTCCCAAGTACCCCCACTCCTCAGGGGTTCTTCCTTTAAAGCCCTGGGCTCTGAATGATTCTACTAATGCAAAGTAATCTCCACCCCATGACTCCTGTGCTCCCTGGTCAATAAAGAAAACAGACCAAAAAGAGGAGGGGAATGCAGTTTATGTGCAGGGTGAAGGAGAGAGGTTGCCAGTAGAGGGGGCTTCCCGCTCACCCCCCCAGGGGGCATCAGGAAGCCAAAGTAGGTATGCTGTTGAAAGATGATTCCTCAGGTAGGGCACTTCAGAGATGTATGGGTCTCAGGGGGAGGGACTGGCCCCTGGGCCCAGGTAGGAAGCCCAGCTCTCAGGGGTGCTGTAAATGGCTAACGCCCCTGGCACAGCAAGGGTTGGGCCTCCCAAATCTGCCTGGACATCCAACAGGAGTGGAGTCCCCAGTGTGGGATCCTTTCCTAGAAGGAGTAAGGCTGTCATCAGAAGAGCATTTCTCCTTTTTTTCAAGAAGAGCCCAGAGTTTGACTTCTGTTCTGTCAGGATGAGCCCTTATTCTTAACCTTGCCACTCTCAGTGGTGAAGGGATGCGTGGCTCAGAAGGCAGTAAGAACAGCCTAAATCCAGGGGGTTGCTCTGCACAGCTCAAACTGTCCATCCCACCCATTCCTGGCAGTTCTGCCCACACCTCCTGAATCCCCACCACCATTACCTGGAGTTGGAGAATTTAATCCTTTGACTGCCAGCTCAGCCTCGCCCCTCTCACCCCTCTCGGGAACCAAGGGCTGCACCTGCATGGGAAAACCCCAGGAAGCAGCTGGGGAGGAGCCTAGCTGAAGAGGAGAGCTGTGGGGTTCACTAGGGCCATCTTTGGTTCACTGAGATGCCAAGGACCAGAGGGTATGGACTTGCCCCACCTCCATCTTACCAGGGACAGTGCCATGTCCAAGTCCAAGAGGGACCATTCACGTCCTTGGAGGCTGGAGCCCAAGACCTGGGAAAAGCTCTGAGTCAGTGGTGCCCTCTCAGGCTGCACAGCCAGCTGGACCCCACTGGGTCTCATGCCCATGCTCCTGCCCCTGCCAAAGGGGTACTCACATCCATGGGCACTGCAGGCTCTACTCCCTCAGGGGGAGGCCTAAGCAGCATTGGAGGTAGCTGACCTTCTGGGCTCGGGTTCCCTTGCTCCAGGTCCAGAGGCCCCCTGTATATGAAGAACTGTTGTCAGCCTGCTGCCTGCAGTGTCCACCACCTCAAGGAACCTGGGTATATCAGGATTTACATCCTCCTCTATGAGCAGAGGTAAACAGTGCCTCTTCTTCCTGCCTAGGCATTGAGGTCTTGGGATATGTCCCCCCCCATGCCAGTATAAATATTAGTGTTTTTAAAAAACTACTGTGTATTATCACTCCAATGAATTCATTGAAAATGCACATTCCTGGGCTGGCCAAATAGCTCAGCAGATTAAAGTGCCGGCAAGCAGGCTCGGGGGCTGGGTTCCATCCCAGACCTGCTGTTACCAGCCCTGCCCCTGCGGGCATGCTGAGACAGCAAAGGAGACTGGGTGTGGTGGTGGTATGTGCCTGTAATCCCAGCTCTTGGGAGGCTGTAAACAAGCAGATCACTAAGAGTCCAATCTAGTAGTGAGACCCTGAACACCCTGTAGACCATTCCCTAAAATACCAAAAAAAAAAAAAAAAAAAGCACATTCCTGAGTCTTATCATAAAGATGATTAGAGACCTGACTGGAGGTTTCTAATTTCCATAGAATTCTGATGCAGGTGCTCCAGGGAGCACATGAGAAATCAGGTGTCTGCTGTCTCCTACAACCACCAAGGGGCCTATAAGGCAGGGAGCTTCTTGGGCTGTGAGGGCCCATCTATCTATCTGTTTAAGAGGCCCACAGGCAGGGTTTATTGTTGAGGGCTCTGCTCACCTGTCAGGTACCTCCCTGGGGCCCCTCCGTTCAGGCTGTTGGGCACTCCTGGGGCCCTCAGGGCTGAAGCTCCCTTTCCCTTCCAGGATGGCCTTCACCACAGCCACAGGCAGCGGTGGGGGGTCTGTCACGCAGAAGTCACACTCGTTTGGGGCCAGGGCCAGCCCGGCCTCGCCATCCCCCCCTGGACTGGCTGGCTCTTCTTTGAGCAGTGCCAGGCCCTTCTCCCTGTACCAGAGAAAAGCTTCAGCCAGACCTTGGCACTGTCCTCTCCTACCTCCACGATCATCTGGGCTGGTAGGCCCTCCCCTAGCAGGCTCCCAGGGGCAGCCCCTGCCCCTCTTACCTCCTGCCACTACCAGAAGAAGAAGGCCTGGGCCCTTCAGGGGATGGAGAGTCTTCTGGGATGTCAGAGATGATAGGGCCCCTGGCCCTGTGAGGGCTGAGGCCCAAGGTAGTCTCGGGGAAGGGCTGTAAGTAAGAAGGCTAGACCCAGCCTTTGACCCATTATTCTAGTTGTGTCCTAGGTAAAAGGGAGGGGGAAAAACCTACCGACTGGATAAAGAAGGGGTCCTGCAGGAGGGCACCAGGAAGGGGACAGGTGTTGAATTTGGCAGGTGTTGGGCATAAGCTTCCCTCATCCAGCATTAGGGACCTGTGTGGGTGAGCAGGGCACAGGCTGGGGTGGGGCAGATTCAGCCTCTATGCCTCTCAGCCTACACTTCCCTCCCCTCTCCCTCCCGCCCTCCCTCCCTCAAGCCCCAGCAGCCAAGTCAGCAGAGCTGAGGCCTGTTGCCAGGCATCAGTCACATGCTGGAATGGAAGGGGCTCCCTCAGAGATGGGGGCCCTTTGGGGTAGAGAGGGAAGGGAGGGAGCATGGTTTGGGCCTCAAGCCTTCTGTTGTTAGGATGCTTTGGGGAAGGGGAAGGGATTGCTGAGGTGGAATTGGGGGTAAGGTCCTAGAACAAGACAGAATGTGGGAGTAGTGGTACCAGATGATAGAGTTGGGGGATAAGGAAGAAAGCCCTAGATTGGATGAAGGTGGTTGTACAGGCAGGGAGGGAAGGGAATGGGGGTTCCTGTTGAAAGTGAAGGGGTTGCTGTCAGGAGTTCTGGAGTAGGGTCCTAGGGGTGGGAATGTGGGTGTGAGTGTCCCTGGCTTCCTCACTCACAGCTTTCTCTTTGTTCCTGCACTGCTGGACCCTGTCTGAAGTGGCCCAAAGAGGCACTGGATCAACTGAAGAGAAAGCAAAGCGTTAATTCATATGTAGCACCTGCCCCCACCCTAGCAAGCAGATCCTGGTGGCTTTGAGGAGGCCTGGGTGGAAGGGTGCCCAGGAGTGGGAGGAGGGAGTGAGATGGGTCGAGAAGCACCTTGCCGATGACCTGGTGCTGTTGACCATGGCTCTGCCTTAGTGTCACCAGCTCTCGCCATAGGATCTCATTCTGCCTGAGAGAAGGGATGGGAGGGCACTGAGGCTTCTGAGGGTTTGCCCAGTCACCACCTCCATGGGATGCAAGGTTGGCATCCCCCCACGGGTCCCACACCACCCCATGGTGGTCCATCCTAGGGTTTCACAGGGTCCAATTGTCTAGAAGGAGGTGCCAAGGCCCAAGAGAGGAAAGGGCTCCCCAGAACTTCCTGATGGCCCGGATCCTCTCAACCAGACCTCCCCCTCCCCTGTCTTTCGGTTCCCGCACTGCCTGAGCTCTTGAAGGCGGGCCTCGGTGCTCTCTTGTACTCCCCGCAAAGCCTGCACCTCAGCCAGCAGCCGCCCCAGGTCTTCCGGCCGCCAGCGACCGTCTTCGCCGCGCAGCGCCGGCACCTGCAGGTGGAAGGTAGCAGCTGGAGAGCGTCACTCAGACTATGGCAGGCAGGCTGACCGAACGCTTCACTTGGGCTTAGTACCTTGCGCCGCACTCGCTCCAGTAGTTGCTCTCGGCCGCGCACGAAACTTGGGTGCTGGAACTCGACGTGGTCGCGCTCCGGCCTAAGTAGGCCACCCTGCTCGATGCTCACCACCTTCCGAAAACCATCTAGGGAGTGGAGTGTGGGGGTCTGAGTAGCCCCAACCTCGGCACTAAGTTGCCCACACCCGCTCCCTGCCCGGTGGTTCGAGGGACTCACACATGTTGAGTTGGCGCACAAAGCTCGCCATGTTGCTGTGCTTGAAATACTGGGGCAGGACTTCCTTGGCGAAGCGGCTTTGATCGCTTACGAGGAAGCTGGTCCCATTCTACCGAGAACGCCGCCCGCCCGCGGTGCGGGTGGAGACCAGAGTCCATGAGCGGCGCCCGCCCACCACCGGGTCAACGCAGTGGCTAGCGCACTCACTCTGGGGTCGCTCCTGCAGCTCATTGTGATATGGGACAAGGGAAGGCCAGGACCAGCGGAGGCCCAGCCCAGGGTAACCAGTGAGTGAGTCCCTAGCCCGTACCCGACCCAGACTCGGTTTTCAGAAGGGAGTAGCAGAGCCAACCCGGGTTCCACCTCTGACCAGGATGTGAGATTGAGCCAGAGCTGCAATGTGACCCTGACTTAGCTGGAGCCAGCCCTTACCTTTTGGCCTGTTTTCAGATCGGTCAATGGGGTGGAGTGACAACTAAATGACCTAGGAGATCACTGGGGCTCTAGGTCTCCGAGGAGATCCCTAATCCTGCCTTAGTCCTAGAGCAAATCGCCTCATCCTCAGCTCGCACACCCCCCTAAAGTGAACTACCTGTACCGTGGAATCAAGGAACCCACAGCTCAGTCCCAGGCGGAGGCTGGGTGGGCGTGGGTGTTGACTGACTTGGAGGGATCCCGGGGACCACTGGGGGTGGCGAGGGGCCCCAGCCCTCACCGGGCTCCAGCGGATCAGGTGGTCGGTGCCTGGGTCGCCCACCAGCGCCCATAGCTTGCCGAGGAAGGCAGGCACGGGGCTGGGGCCTGGCTCCGTGGGCAGCGCGGCTGGCGCTTCCTGCATGGCGCAGTCTCGGCCGGGCTCAGCGCTCGGCCCGGCCGCTGCGGGCTTGTCCAAACCGTGAAAGTGCTGCGTTTGCCTCCCGCCCCGCCCTACTCCGCCCCCAGGCGCTGAGTCAGGCGGGGGCCACGTGCGGACACAGGGGGCGGGGCTCGGACAGCAGCCGAGGCGCCATCAGACCACAAGAGCTGGTTGAAAAGAATCGGAAATATGCAGAGATTGGGTGCCCAGGGAGACCTGGGTTCGACTCCCATCCTTCTCAGTCTATTTTCTTCTGCATTCTTTGGGAGAAATCTTCGTGTGTGAACTGCTGTGGACCTGGAAAGTCTTAGCGTAGCTGTGGGCATAGTGAAGCCCTGGTTAGAGCTGGCAGGATAGGTGGGTGTGGAATGATGCTAGGGTGCATTCATTCCAAGGGTGCAGAATGCCCCGCCCTTGCCCGTGCCGCTTTAGTACTACAGTCCTTGGGGTCCAGATCCTTTCCACCTCCGCTTGGAGGACTCTTCCTGCCTCGGCTCTTTCCCTGCACTCCCCCTATAGAACTGACCCAGCCTTTCACAGGACTCGGAGATACCTCAAAGTCTGTTTATTTCACCCAATCCCTAGACCCGGCACACACACTGCAAGGTCTGTTTATTTCACACTCACCTCTACGGTCGGCCAGCGCCCATGGCCACCCTCCTCCCACACTGGCCTGCCGAGCTGGGACAGAATGCACGGAGGGATGGGGTAGAGAAGCCCAGTACTGCCCCGACAGAGTTGCAATCTGCAGAGGCTGAGAGCACTGACTGGACTCAGGGTGCCCCGGACTGGTTCAGACACCACCCCACAGTTCCCAGTCCCCGCCCCAGAGAGGCACAGAAGGCAAACAGAATTCCAAAAGGGCTGGCAGTTGGAGGGCACCCAGGAAACTCCCTCCTGGGTCTCAGAGACCTCGGGTCTGCAGGATGGGGGGTGGGGAGTTGACCAATCACCGCAGGAGTGTGGGCCGCCAGGGATGTGGCTCGCGCTTCAGTTTGAGAGTGTAGCTGCGCAGGCGCGGGCAGCGTGCGCGGAAGGCTTCAAGTACTGAGGACCTCACCACGCAGAAGCAGTGTATCTCACGCAGGCCTGAGCAGCGAGCTGCCAGCTCCTGCAGCGCAGCGTCCAGCTCCGGTGAGGAGGAAGCGCGCACCTCTAGCACACGCAGGGTTGCAGCGTAGTGGTGCGCGGCGAAGTGCACCGGACCTATGGTGTCACCAGAGAGGTTGAGACGTAGCACAGCCAGGGGTATTGCTGGCTGCAGGACTCGCGTCACGCTCTCAGCAGGCATCACGGGCTCAAGCTCCAGCTCCACAGCTAGCCCAGGATGGCGGCAGCGTAATGCCCCCCAGCATTCGTCGGGTATGTGGGGTGCGCGTGCATCTTCAGGGCACGCGCACCGAAGGGCCAGGAGCTCAAAAGGCTCACGATTTGGCGCAGCCAGCACCTGGAGGATGGCAGATGATAGACTGGCTAGGTGCAGGCCGAGGGAGCACAGGTGCCGACAGGCCTCCAGCAGCTCGAGTACTGAGCCTGGCCTCACACTGTCCACCAGAGTGTGGTTGTCCAAGAAAATGCTTCGGAGCTCTGGGCAGCTTCGTGCCACCAGCAGCACCAACTCGTCATCCAGCGTGAAGGGCAAGCGCCGCAGGTCGAGGTAGCGCAGCTCACAGGCATTCTGGCAGACAGCTTGCACAGCGTCCAGGATGTCGCGGCCAGAGTCAAGCAGCGGTTTCTCACCGAGGCACTCCAGGCGCAGGCCTCGAAGCCTTGGGGCACCGCCCGCCATCGCAATCAGCAGCTCAGTAGCCAACCGGCGACTCATCTTCCTCGACGGCTCATATTCCAGCCGTAGATTGTGAATGTAGTCCAGGCAGGTGTACAGATACGGTGGCAACATACCTTCTTGCTCACAGTCGCAACTTAGGTTAGAGTACAGAAAAGGAATTGGGGGGAATTTCCGCGACCAGGAGAGAGGCCTCTACTACCCCTCAGCTTGGATTCCCACTGTCCTCCTTCTTGCTTGTCCCATGCACACATCTCTGTCCAGACCTCACTGTAGCCCCAACGTAGCCACTGATGGTAGGGATAACTCCCATCCCATCCCTTTAGAAGACTTCAGTGAGCCACAGGTTGAAACCCTGGCACAGACAGCCAGTGATATTTTAGGAACTAGCAAGGCTAGTTAGGCTCCAAGGAAGTGGGAGTAGGGAGGCCTCTGGGTTGCCAGGTTCAAAATCGACTCTGCCACCCCCTTGCTGAATAACCTGTGGGAAGTGATGAAATCTCTGCCTCATTTGTGCAATGTAGTTAATGCTGCCTATCCACCACCACAGGAGGTTTTTGTGAGGATTAAAAGTTAATATAAGCAAAGCAGTTAGAATAGTTGATATATGCATAGTAGGTGATCAGTAAATGTTAGTACTGTAATTATTTTTTCAGTATGGGTGAACTTCATTAATCCTCCCAAATCCAAGCTCCCCAGAGCAAGTAGGAGGATGAGTAGGTGGCAGCTCACCTGATGTCGGTGTCATACCACACAGCACTGCTGGTGACAGCGACAGCCCAGGCCTTGCAGACCCCAGCGGCAGCAGCACGGTCTCTGAGGGGCAGGTGGCGAAAGATGAGTACCAGCACCTCCTCTGGCAGTTCTTCTGCCATGTTGTGGTTCTGCCACAGCCCACACAGATCAGGCCTGGAGAGAGGGCATCCTGGGCTCAGGAAGGGAAGTCTGGAGCATAGGTGGAAAAATGCTTGTGGTTTGCCAGCTGCTATATTTTATGAATCTTTGTGCAAAATGAAAATTCATGAATACCTGCTTACACATTAAGAATTTCAGTTTCAAAGGGCTGGAGATGTAGCTCAGAGGTAGGCTCTAAGCTGACCTCAACACTACCCAAAAAAATTTGAGGCAGTGGCAGCAGAACTTTTGATCAACTATTCAACCAAGCGTGAGGCCCCTGCCCCACTGTGCAGGTCTAACTCAGGTCCGTGAAGCCATCTCTACGTGCCAAAAGGATTCCTTTTCTGGTTCTTTTATTTTTCACTTGTTGAACAAGTTCCAGGTGATTCTATAAGTTGCTACTTGAGAAACCTTGCCCCAAACTTGCCAGCCAGTAGAGGATGACTACAAGGTTAATAAGGTGGAAGCAAGGAAGACTTTTGTCAAGGACTTCAAGCCAATCAGGAACCATGAGTGTGTGTGTGTGTGGGGGGGGAGGGAGAGAGGGAGAGGGAGAGAGTGAGAGAGAGATTCATACACAGGGGCTTCCTGCAGCAGCCCAGTGCCCGCATAATTAGGCTTGGGGTTCTATGCCTGACAGTTCCAGCTTTTTTTTTTTTTAATTAATTTTTAAAATGTATTTTATGGAAGGGTATACAGGGTGTTCATGATCTCACCACTAGATCGGACTCATAGTGACTCTCCTGTTTACAGCCTCCTAAGCACTGGGATTATAGGCGAATGCCATACCCAGTCTCAAATTTCAGGCTGTAATTCAATTCATCCCGGGACCACTGAGCAGCCCTGGCTCCTCTGGGCAGAAATTCAGCACACTGACATGGTTCCCAAATTTTAGAGGAAGATTGAAGTTGTTGGAAACTGTTCATCCTCTTTTTGTTTTAAGGTGTATGAGGCTTTTGTACATTTCACACCACTTCCCAGTTTACTTTCTCATATCTTCCAGGCTAACGTCTCTCCTGGAATTTGCACCATATGTACTCTGGGGGTGTCAGACCCTCTGTCAGTCTTATTTTTGGGAGTCGTGGCACCGGGTTTGAGTACGAGGGACTAGCAGAGGGGAGATCACCAAGACGGATCCCCAGAGGCCACAAGAAAATTTTGATCCCCAGGTGGCGCCCTCTAGTTGAGCCACCTCGAACGGACGAAAGTCCTGCAGCTCTCACTCTGCGACTCTTGGGTTTTACAAGAATCTCAAGACCCCAAAGTTACCACCTACCAGCAGATCTTCTAGTTAATTGAGGCGTCGATATCTTACCTGCTCAGCGGCCCGGGTGGGCTCCACTCAGAGGCAGGGGATTAGCCAGGGAGGACAGCGGAGATGGCTGGAGCCGCCGGGATCGGGGAAGGCGGGACAAGGGGGCGGCTCGGGAGGCTCCTGCTGGGGCACCGCCCCGGCGCCTCCGCGCACACCCGGAAGCAACGTGGTGGAACGGACCCCGGCGGGCCTGGGAACCCTGGCTCGGCAGAGGTGGCCAGGTTAGTTCAGAGGGAGAGAAGGTGGGTAACCCGGTGCAGCACGAGCGCAGGTGGAGTCTGGCTCCCAAGCGAGAGTAACGTGCGGCTGTCACCCGGTGCTGCTGCGGCCAGCTGGTGACTGCGGCCTATTGAGCCGTTTCCGTAGGAGGAGGTGAGGGTACAGAACTTGAGCTTTTAAGGTTCCTTGTCCTAGCTAAGAGCTTTGAAACGGCTGTTGGGCCGCCTGTGCTGGTGAGAGGTTGTGGAGAAGGGACTGGTTCTGTGATCGAGGCCCCTTTTCCTTCCCAGTCCAAGCACGTGCGAAAACCCAGCATGAGGGCGAGCTAGTGGGAACCCGGCAAGTTCCCCGCTCGATGTCCAGAGTGCGCAACAGAGTAGGGGTACATCCGGCTGGTTGCAGAGTTGCAGGCTTCCAGTCCTTAGGCCACGCCTGTGGGCCGTCCGCTCAACCAACCAGAAGTGAGGTTGCCTGGGGACTGCCCTGTGTTAATGGGGCGTCTTGCCTGGATGTCCTCTGTTGGCAGTTCTTAGTTTGATACCCAAGTGTCCACATTAACGTGTGCCCGCTATCCCAGCAACCCAACCTGGAAGTTTCAATCCAGCCCAGAGAGGGGTGGATTCCCGGTGGGTGGGGCTTGGGGCTTCCCAAGGAAGGGCTTTCCGTGGAAGGCCACACTGGGGTGATTCCAAAATGGACAATGGCAGAGAAGAGCCTTCCCTGCCCCACCACTTCTCTACATTGTTAACCAACCTCGACCTCCAGCCCAACAATGGTATATGATGGGACATCCCCTCTCCAGGCTTCTGTCAGTCCCTACCTCCACCCTTTGTGCTGAACCCACATCCACCCTGTCAGAACTTCCAAATCACAGGGGCTAGGAAGATGTAAGAGAGGAGACATCTATTTCCAGACTCCTCCATGCCACTTTTCCTGGGCTTCCTACTTGCCTTGCCTTCTTGACTGGCTCCCTACTGCTCGTGGCCCTTCCTGTCACCTGGAGTCTCACCCCATATTTTTTTTGTGTGTCTGTGTGTTTTGTTTTTAAAGAAAGACTTTTTTTATAACTGGGCATAGTGGCGCGTGCCTGTAATCCCAGCACTTGGGAGGTTGAGGCAGGAGGATTATTGAGAGTTCCGAGACCAACCTGGGCTATAAAGTGAGCTTAAGGCCAGCCTGAACTGCATTGCTAGACCCTGTCTCAAAAAGACAAAACAAAAAAAAATTTTTTTAGTGCAAGGGAAATGTTTGTTTTACACAAAGTAGAAAATATTGTTAAAGGAAAGGAAATTAAAAATTGCTCCAGATCCCCTCCCATCCTGCCCAGAGATATAGTACTAGTATTCTATTAATTTAAAAAATTAATAGTTAATTTTATGTTGTTTTAGGTATGTTCAAAAGAATACATTCTCTATGAAGAAATTAGCAGGGAAGTGACAATTCAAAGTGTGTCACCTGTGCTCAGAGCCATGGTAGGACCCCCTTACCAGTTGTCATTTCTCTTGCTAGGGTGGGTGATATGGTCACAGCTTGGGCACATGGGTTAGGACTTGGAGGAAGAGTTGAAATGTAGTCTCTTCTTCAAGCTCCAAATCCTTACTTCCTCTTCACTATGTCCAGACTCCTATCCTGGGTGCTCCTGGAGCCAACTGGAGCCACCCACCTGCCCACCCAGAGCAAGGGCTCAGCACCTGTCTGTTACAGTTCACCACTGTAATGCTAAAACCAGAAAGTAAAGGAAACTGACTGATGGGGCAGGAGGTGGCGTTTTCTGGGAAAAAGGAGATGTGTTACCTTAAGTGAGGCAGAAGAGGCAGGACAGTTTCCCCACTTGCCTCCTCATGGGGCTATAATGGGGTCTATGAAGCAAGTCCATGGTTGAGAATTGTGCCTCCTGGTCGGGGGTCAGGGTGTTTTTTGTTTATTGTGGAACCAGGGATTGAACTCAGGCCCTTATACTTGCCAGGCAAGCGCTTATTCTACTGAGCCATCTCCCCAGCCCCAAGGGTCAGGGTATTTTATGTCTTTTTGAGAAAGGCTCTCAGTATGAAGTTCAGGGTGGCCTTGAACTCATTTTGTAGCTCAGACTGGCCTCAGATTTGTAGTGGTCCTCCTGCATCAGCCTTCCAAGTGCTGGGATTACAGGCATGTGTTACACCTACAACTTAGGGTCAGATTTTTGACAGAAGGAGAAGATATTAATACCAAGGGTCCATGGCTCTGTCTGGACAGGGAACAGGAATCTATAAATAGAACAGTTTGAATTGGAAAAGACAAGAGCTCAATTCCAAGGGCTTTATAACAAAGCAGAATGGTTTAGCTCACAAAACTGAACTTGGGGCTTAATGGTTTCAGGGACAGATAGATCTGGGGTCAATGTGGTTAGGAGTGTACTTCTCCTTCTCTTGACTGTTTCCTTCAGTATTGGTTTTATTCTCAGCTAGGCTCTTCCCAGACAGTGTCAAAGGAAGATTTATCACTTTCTTCTGATTCATCCCCAAGGAAAGGGAAATTAATGCTGTTAGTACAGCTGAGCAGCAGGCTTGACTCTTATTGGGCCAGCTTGAGCCCTATATGGAGGCCTGAACAGGTCATGCAGAATGGTAGCAGGACATGTACTGGCCAGGCCTGCTTCATATAACCAGACATGGAGCTAGGAAGTGAGATTAGCACTCTCATTAAGCTTAAGAAGAGGGAGGAGAGTTCACAGAGGTCTAAGGTTAGTGGAGGGAGTCTGTGTAGGAATAAAGTATAAGTTATTTTCCTTTTTTTTTTTTTTCAGTATTGGGGATTGAACTCAGGACCCTGCACTTGCCAGGCAAGTGCTTATTCTACTGAGCTATCTCCCAGCCACCACAAGTTTTTTTTCCTTAAAAAAAAAAAAGCAAAGTCAAAAGGTATAGTGGGAGTGCAGATGAAAGAATCTGAGGTTGGGGTTGTAGGCCTGCAGAGATCGTGGGTCTCAAGTTCAAGCTGAAGGTGAGGCTGGGGTCTAGCTGGCTTTGGGCATGGGCAACATCCAGAATGATGTCTGATGTTACCTTTGGCTTGAGGAGGAGGCAGGGGTTCTCTTTTCACTTCAGGGTTTTCTGTTCTTCTGCCACTATGACCCTGGACTTTTTTTTCCCCCTCAGGACTGGGGATTAAACCCAGGGCCTTAAAAGTGCAAGGAAAAAAAAATCTAAGGTAGTTGAGTGAGTACTATACCACTGAATTACATCTGTAGCCATTTTTATTTTTTATTTCGAGACAGGCTCTGATCAAGTTGCCCAAAATGGCCTTGAACTTGCCATTCTTCTGCATCAGCCTCCTGAGTGGCTGAGATTACAGGCATGTGCCACTGCACTGGGCTACTATGGGCTTTTGCTGGAAATCTGTGTAGGAATAATCCTCACTGCAAGGCTGGGCAGGGTTGGACAGGGCTTCCTGTAGAGGGAGAGGCAAAAGAGGTTGCCTAGAGATGGTGAACTCCTGCTCCAAGTATGCAAGCTGACTGGGGTGGCTGTGAGGGTGGATGGACCACATGGAATTAGACAGTTGTCTCCAAGTCTAGGAGTGACCTGTATTCTTGTCTGTAGGTCCAAGGCACAAGATGGCAGCTGGGTCAAATGGGCATGAAGAGTGGGTGGGCAGTGCATACCTGTTTTTGGAGTCCTCACTAGACAAAGTGGTCCTGTCAGATGCCTATGCACACCCCCAGAAGAAAGTGGCAGTATACAGGGCTCTGCGGACTGCATTGGCAGGTGCGTGGCTTTCCATACCGACAGAGCCGGGATGGAGGTTCTACCTCCTCAGTTGGGAAAAGATTGGGGGTGGGAAGTAATTGGGGCATGGGGCTGGATAGAGGAGAAGAGCCCTGGGTGTAGGGCCAGACTTCTCTGCTTAATGCAAGCATGTGCTTGCACTGATATGTGTACCTGTGTCTAGGTATGATCTGCCTATTTCTGCACTGATCTCTCCCTGCTCTGTGCACCCCTTGCCTGCCCTCCTTCCCATCCGTCTCACTCCTTTCTACTAATTGCACATTTCTCTTTCCTCTTTTCCTCTCTCACTGCAGCACTCCTTGCCCAAGACCCCTCCCCAGTACCTACCATTTTAGGTCCCCCTTACCCACCCCAAGGGAGAAACCAAAGAAAGCCAGTTGGATTCTACTTCAACCTAAGCAACAAGGATCCCTCCCCTTCAAGGGGAGAGGGAACCTTACTAGTTGGAGGCTGAAGACCTGAGACCTCCCACACCTCTCCCCCTGTTTTCCTTAGGGCAAAGGTCCATTTTCTGTATTGAAAAGGCCCTCCTTTTGGCTCACCCTCATTTGAGGTTGTTTTTTTTTTTTCTTTCCCCCTGAACCGGGGATTGAACTCAGACCCTTGCGCTTGCTAGTCAAGCGCTTATTCTACTGAGCCACTCATTTGAGGTTTTAAAGATGACACTAGATTACACCCACTCTGTAGTACATTCTGGCCTGCTTTCTGGATTGTTGCTCTTTGCATCCCAATTTTATCTCCCAGCTGGGACCTTTGGGTAATCTTGCACCCCAGGCCAGAGGATGGGGACAGGGGTTCTGTTGATCTCAGGCTTCCCCTTCCTTCGGCTGCTTGGAGAACGGCCCCACTAAGGGACCGCTTGGCACCTGACCGCTCACCTCTGCAGAGAGCTCCCAGAGCCCCGACGTGCTACAGATACTGAAGATCCACAGAAGCGACCCACAGCTGATCATGCAGCTGCGTTTCTGCGGGCGCCAGTCCTGCGGTCGCTTTCTCTGTGCCTACCGTGAGGGGGCGCTGCGCGTCGCCCTGCAGAGGTGCTTGGCAGCGGCTTTGGGCCAGCCCTCCCTGCGGCTGCAGCTGGAGCTACGCGCGGGGGCCGAGCAACTGGATGCTTGGCTGACTGATGAGGAGCGCTGTGTGCAAACCATCATGGCCCAGAAGGTGCAGCTGGCTGGGGTCAGGATGGGGCTGGGGGGGATTCGCTGTCAAGAGCCCCACTGACAGCTCATTCCCTCCCCCAGCCCGACCGGCTCCGGGATGAGGAACTCACTGAGCTGGAAGATGCGCTCAACAATCTGATGTTGGGCCCCGCGGGTCAGGGTGGCAACGCAGGGGTCACTCCAGCCTCTTCACAGTCCCTGACCTCCTCCTCATTGGAGAAGCTGCCACCATCAGCTGACCAGACCTTTCTGTTCCAAGGTCACCCTATAGGTGAGGTGCAAGTGCAGAGGCAAGGTCCCCAAGTTGGGCCTGGTGGGTACCAGCTCTAGGGTACTCTGCGCTTACCTGCCGTTCCACTTCCTCTGCAGTGAACCGGCCGCTGAACCTGCAGGACCAACAGACCTTCGCACGCTTAGTGGGCCTCAAGTGGCGCAGGGTGGGGCGCTCCCTGCAGCGTGGTTGCCGGGCACTGCGGGACCCTGCTCTCGACTCACTGGCCTATGAATTCGAGCGTGAGGGGTTATACGAGCAGGCCTTCCAGCTGCTGCGGCGCTTCGTGCAGGCGGAGGGTCGCCGTGCCACGTTGCAGCGCCTGGTGGAGGCCCTCGAGGAAAACGAGCTAACCAGTTTGGCAGAAGACCTGCTGGGCCTGGCAGATTCCAACAGTGGCCTGGCCTAGGCTGGGGACCAAGGGTGTGGAGCACCTGGATGGATCTAGGGTTCCAGCTACTGCTACTGCTACTGCTGATGCCTCCCCCTTCCATCCAAGGGGCTCTGAGACCACATGTAGCACTTCAGTTTCACTGAGCAGCTGGGGGCAAAGCTTCTCAATGAATCAAAGCATCTCCTGAGCCTGCAGGGTGCACCATGGTGATCCTGCCACAGAGTCTTTGATAGAGACAGAGTTTGTATACCTTCCTTTTTGGCCAGCCCTCACTTCTTTATTCATAGAAAAATGACGTATTAAGTTCCTGGAACCTCTGTGTTCTAGGTATCAACCCTAGTGCGGCAAAAACGGTGAGCAAGACACAGGAATCCTCTCCCCAGCTCACATCCAGAAGTGATAATAAAGGGTAACACTTTTGCACACAGTGAATTGTGGGAGTGTGGAAGCCTATTCCAGCCTGGGGGTAGACTTCAGGAGTACATAAGTGGGAATGAGTGTAGGTGGGAGTTGTGAAAAGGGAAGTGTTCTGGGCACAGCAGCCTTGGGCAGTGTCTAGAGGAAGGCAAAACAAAAGGGTGTGTAAAGTACAAATTTAGGTCAGGAGTGGTGCATGCTTATAGTCCCAGCACTTGGGAGGCTGAGGCAGGAGGATCATTGCAAGTTCAAGGACAGCCTGGGCTACAAAATGAGCTGGCCTGAACTGCATAGCAAAGTCCTGTCTCAACAACAAACAAACAGAAAAAAAGTACAAGGTTAGAGTAGTTGGATCGCGTATGGTAGAGTGGGTGAGTAGGTCACTGAGTGACCCATTGGTGAGGGGGTGACGTGGAATCTAGTGAGTCATCGTTTTTTTTTTTTTTGTACAGGGTCTCACTATGAAGGACAGACTTGTAGTGATCTTCCTGTTTTCAGCCTCTCCAGTGCTGGGATTAGAGGCGTGCTCCAGTGCGCCTGGGGTGGGGCTGGTACAGCATGCAGTACCAGGGATTGAACCCAAATCTCTGTGGTTGCCTAAGTAGGCGCTTAGTCCACTGAGCTATCTCACCGGCCCAGTGAGCCATCATATAGCTTGTATTTTACAAGGCCAGTGAGAAGTCTTTGAAGAGTTTGGGGAATTAACAATGGGAGGTTTGTGAGGCCAGAGGAAGGGGTGGGGAAGACAAGGTTGGGACAGTGGCTGCAGAGGAAGAGGAAAGGGACTGAACACCAAGAGCTGTTTGGGAAGAAATGGTAACAGCCTGGTGACCTGAGAGGGAACCTGGGGGAGGCCCTTGTTTGCTCTGTTCCCAGGAAATGATGATCCTGCAAGGCATCCAGGGAGGTGGTGTAAGGGACACTGGCTGTATAGTTCTGAGTTAAAGAGATGAGTCAGGCTAAAGCTTCATGAAGCTGGAAATGGTGGCTCACGCCTATAATCCCAGCACTCAGGAGGCTGAGGCAGGAGGAGAGTTTCGAGTTTGGGAGCAGCCTGTGTGCAAAGTGAGCTCAAGGCCAACCTGAAATGCACAGTGAGACAAAATATGGGGGCATGCCCATTACCTGAGTTCTTTTTTGTTTTTGTTGGAACCAGGGATTGAACTCAGGCCCTTGTGCTTGCCAGGCAAGCGCTTATTCTACTGAGCTACCTCCCTGACCCTACCTGAGTTCTTTCAGTGCCTACTGAAGCAGAGCAGTCAGTCTCAGGATGCTGGGGTTTGATCCCCTTATCCTCATGCTTTACTAGACCTGCCGTGCAGGCACCCTGAGCCAAAAAAAAGTCATCAAAAAGAAAACACCTGGGGACAGGCAGTGAGAGTGCTAGCAGGGTTGTTTTAAGAATTGCACTATTTGTCTTGTTTGCGTGTGTGTGCCTGTGCTCTGGTAGTTGGTATGTTGAGCCAAGAGTAAGAGGCACTCAGTTGTTCCAGAGGCAGTTTATGGTTCCTGCCTGGTAGGACCAGGGCTGCTGAGGAGAGGCACTCTTAAGAATGACCCAGGATAGTAGCCAGGTAGACACGTAAGACTCTGCCCCAGGGATTTGGGACTAGTCAGCTCATGGGCTCTTGGCAGCCAGGGCCCTGCCCTATCTCTGAAGAGACAGCAGTGAAGGGTATCCACAGACAGGATACTTTCAAGCATCAGAAAGGTAGATTTGTGGAGTCAGACAGCGCCAAGACCAGGCCTTGCTCACCGGCAGTCCTCTGGTGAAACCTCTCTGGAGTTAATTAGTCCCTCCTTGGAATTGGCTCTCCCAGCCGGCCGCACTGGGGCGGAGCTGAGCTCCAGAGGTCCAAGCACAGCTGGAAGGTCACGTGGCACGGCGGGTTGGGTTGGGTTGGGTTGGGAGGGGGGCTTCCTGCCAACACAGCATTTGGCTCAGGCCCGTCCATGGCTGCCCTTGGGACCCTACGCTAAGCCCTAGAAGCTCGGGCATTAGGGGGTCGTGCCACTCCTGAGGGTCTTGTGTGTTGGGATCCCCACAGACCCAGGCCGGAGCAAGACTGTAAAGGTATAACTAACGGACTTAGCCTTAGTGCGGGGAGGAGGGAAGGAGCAGGGTTCCGCATCTCCCTGCCGGACCTTGGGGCCTCGTCCTAGGTCAGGTGGGGGTTAAGTACAGAGGGGGTGTTTCTTCTTTCCTTAGCCCGCTGGTCTCAGCAGTGCGTCGTCGCGCTGGAGGGGGATGAATGTCCAGTAGCCTGAGGCTCCTGGGGCGTGGCCTTTTGCCCGCTCCTCTACAGGAGTGCAGGGTCTGCTCGCCATTCTTGGGAGGCCCTGCTAGCGACCCTCTGAAGGGAGGGACAGTGCTGGCCACGCGGACATGAGGAGACTGCGCCTACGCGGGGACGGGTTGCTCACACTGGTTCTCGGCGCCGCCCTCGCCCTTCTACTCTACGCGCAGCGCGACGGCCCGGCCCCAACCTCGAGCGAGCCCCGAGAGCGAGGGACAGTGGGACGGAGGCCAACGCTGAGGCCCCGCATATTCCAGGTACCAGTTGGCACAGCCCATCTGGCCTATGAAGAGGACACGCCGGCACCCCCTACACCCACAAGCCCTTTTGACTTCCGCCGCTACTTGCGCGCCAAGGACCAGCGGCGCTTTCCCCTGCTCATTAACCAACCGCACAAGTGTCGTGGCGACGGCGAACCTGGCGGCCGACCAGACCTGCTCATTGCTGTCAAGTCTGTGGCTGCCGACTTTGAGCGGCGCCAAGCTGTGCGCCAAACATGGGGCTCTGAGGGTCGCGTGCAGGGGGCGCTCGTACGCCGTGTGTTCTTGCTGGGTGTGCCCAGAGGCCCAGACAAGGAAGGGGCAGATGCAGGGGCGGCCACACGGGGGCACTGGCGTGCCCTGCTGCATGCTGAGAGCCGTGCCTATGCAGACATCCTGCTCTGGGCCTTTGATGATACCTTTTTCAACCTAACGCTCAAGGAGATTCACTTTCTGGCCTGGGCTTCAGCCTTTTGCCCTGATGTGCACTTTGTTTTTAAGGGCGATGCTGATGTGTTTGTGCACATAGGGAACCTGCTGGAGTTCTTGGCCCCACGGGATCCAGCGCAGGACTTACTTGCGGGTGATGTGATCGTGCAGGCACGGCCAATCCGCAGGCAGGGTAGCAAGTACTACATCCCTGAGGCTGTATATGGCCTGCCTGCCTATCCGGCCTACGCAGGCGGCGGTGGCTTTGTTCTTTCTGGAGCTACACTGCGTCGCCTGTCCAGCGCCTGCAAGCAGGTTGAGCTCTTTCCCATCGATGACGTCTTTCTGGGAATGTGTCTACAGCGCCTTCGGCTTACACCTGAGCCTCACCCAGCTTTCCGCACCTTTGGCATCTCCCAGCCTTCAGCTGCACCTCATCTGTACACCTTCGACCCTTGCTTCTACCGAGAATTGGTTGTAGTGCACGGGCTCTCTGCTTCTGATATTTGGCTTATGTGGCGCCTGCTACACGGGCCATATGGGCCGGTCTGTGCACACCCGCAGCCTGTTGCTGCAGGCCCCTTCCAATGGGACTCTTAACTACCAATCTTATAGGGCTCCCCTCCCCGTATTTAGGTCAGAGTCTACAGGATCTCACTATGTAGATCGGACTAGCAGTGATTAACCTGTGTTCATCTTCCCAAGAACTGGGATTACAGGTATTACAGACCGCCACACCCAGTCTCCATCCCCCTCCCAGTGAACCCCAAGGGCAGGGCCTGCATCGCACACTGAGGATCAAACCCAGCCAGTCACTACACTCTGCCTAAGCAGGCACTTTAGTCCATTGAGCTATCAGGCCAGCTCTTTCTTACCTATCAATCGATAGCTGGCTTCTTTCATTCCACCCCAGAATGAAAGTTATTTTTTAAAATGTATTTGGTTGTTGTAGGGTCTCACTACACAGCTCAGACTCCTGGTGATCCTCCTTTCAGCCTTCCCTGTGCTGGGATTACAGGTGTGGGCCACTACACCTGGACTGTGGCTAGCTCACCCTAGGGGCGGGGCTGGTGCAGCATGTGGTGTTGCTTGTCTAAGCAGGCGCTTTACTCTGCTGAACTATCTTGCCAGCCCTAAGAATGGAGCTTTTGAAAGGGGTTTCTTACCTGGATTACTTGCCCAGACAACTGGGTGTCTGCCTCAGGATCCTAAAGAACATTGAGCTTGGCTCTTGGTGGCCCACACTATCAGAAGCAGGTCTAGAACCATCATGGTGATCCACTAAGACAGCCAGGGCTGGAGGGTTAGAAGACCATGTCTTGCCCAGCAGGCTTTAGACCAGTAGATAGTTTTCCTAGTAGCAAATAGATGGGTATTTTGGTGGGAGATTGGTTTGAAACCCATGGCTGATGAACACACATGCAAGGGGCTCATCCTCTTTTAAGGCCAGGCCTCACAGCCAAAGTAGACTTGGCAGGCATAATGCTACAGCCAAATCTTAAAGTAGACATTCTGTCTCAGCTGCTCCTCCAAATTGAATTCTAAGTCTTATCCCTGTCTACATCTTTCCCAAAGATTTTCCTGGAACCAACCATTCCTGGGCCCAGTTCTGACAGGAAGACCAGGGATAGTCACAGGAACAACTTCGTCATGGTCCTACTTCTTTAGTCCCCTACACCCACACCTTTTTGTCAGTGTCCTTCTAAGCCTCCTAGAGTGCCCTTATAAGACTCCTCCATTATAATTTTTTTCCACAGTTTTCAACTATCCCCTTAAAAAAAACACCACCTCCACACTTATTTTAGTACAAACATCCCAGCAACAGCACATGGCAGGCTGCTGCTGAGGGCATAGGTGCTTTATTGGAAAGAGAATGTGGGCAAGAGATGAGGAAGGCTCCCCATTCCAAGAGGATGGGAACAGTTCTGGCTACCCCTGACAATGAGATATGCAGGGTCTCTGGCCAGACTGGTCAGAATGGGAAGACACTCAGTCACAAAGTCATGGGCGTGCCATACAAGCCTGGCTGTAGGCATGAGAACCATACAGGCAAGCACGTGGGGCAGGTTCCCTGCACATTCATCATGAACTATACAGAATGAGGCTGTACATGAGTTAATTACAAAAGAATCATATTTACAAAAATCTGTACACACATTTGAAAAACTCACAAAATTGTCATCTATGTATCACAAGTTTGCTAGACCAAAATATTAAAAATGGGATAAAAGTATACATTTCTCTTCTCAATTCTTTTCAAAAGGATTAATATTTTAAAGCACATTTATGCTACTTTCCATTAGCAAAACCTATGAAGAGATCAAGCAGCCCTGCATTCCTTGAACCCCCAGAGGCCATGAGCCATGAAAGGTCTAGCCAGGGGACAGTGGCTAGGGCTAGGGTAGGGAGCTGACCCACAGTGCAGAACAAAATGATAAAATACAACAAAGAAAGATGTCTTTGGCTAAAACTTTGGCATTAAATAAAGATACAAACAGAATGGAAACATAAAGCCCTACCAGCAAGGCAACCTTGAAAGCTGGCTCCAGAGCAGTGGAAACCAGGCCTGGGCACATACTTGGATGGTAGAAAGCTGTGCTTCACCAGGTGGGTGTCTCTTGGGCCTGGCAGGGAGCACGCACAAAAGGAACAGGGAAGGGCAGGTGGGCCACTTTCACCATAGCCAGCTCAAGTAACTAAAGTAGATGTAGTGCAAATGTTGCAACCGAGTACTATGAACACACTACCTGTTTGCCTCAACGGTCACATGGCAATGTGCAGCCAAAGGCAGGACTCTGTCCTTATCCTGGATTCCTGTATCAGCCACAGAAAGGGCCCCAAGTTTTCCCAATGTGTGTAGGACAAGGGTTGACATGTCCTGCCTTCTTCTGTGTTAGTCCAGATCTCCTGGGTCTAGGTATCAAGGCTCAAAGTTTGTGCTTCTCTTTGCAGTCTGTGTTCCCTGCTGGCAGCAGCAGGCTTAGGACCGACAGAGGAATACCTGGGCCCCTTGTCCCACAGCAGAGCGCCCAGACTGAGCCTACCTCTGAACATTCCAAAAGCCCTTCAATACTGACAAGATGTCCAAGCAAACCCACAGGGTGGCACACAGACCCACTGAGCAGGATGTCACCCACAGTTCCATGGGCAGAGGAGCACAGGTGGTGATGTCCCTAGGGGAGCTCTGCTGTTCTCAGCTGGGCACCAGGCCTGGGGGGGCCATACAGGGTTACAGAGGCAATGTGGTTGTTCTGCATGATCTGGTATAAGAAGAGGACAATGGGTCAAGGGGGAGGGGTAGAAGAGATGGAGGCGGCTCTTTTGTTAGAGGGTTGAATGAGCCTGGAGGTTGTGCTCATGACCTACCTATACACAAGGCCTGGGCTTCCTGAGCTCCCAAGCTTTCCTACTTTATACTAGTGGGGAACTCTGCCCAAAGGTGTGCCTGTTCTTATGGAATATACATCTATTTTTCTAGTCCTTCTGGAACTGCTCTAAGGGGAGGCATCCAGATAGAAAATAGGGGCTAGCCAATGTTCTCTTAAGCCATCAATTCTCAAGAGTCACTCACAGTACTTTTAGTCAGATGGTTCACAATGGCCCCCAATATGCCCAGGTTCTGCCCCATTTATCCTGAGGTCTCCTTCCCTGTCATATCCATTTTCAGATATAAATATGAGATCACATCTTGATAGAATGCTTCAGCTCCCATAACTCCAAATTTTTTTGTTTATTCTTGAGATAAGCTCTCACTCTATAGTCCAGGCTGGCCTTGAACACAAGGTGATCCTGCTGCCTCAGCCTCCTGAAGGCTAAGATAAGAGGTATAAGCTACCATGCCTGGCTCCCCAGATTTTCCTGTTAAGTGTGGGGAGGCTAAGCATGCAAACAAGATTGCTGAGGAAGGATTAATCTGCTCAACTTTGAAGTTAAGACCCTCCCCAATTCCTGAAATCACTTGCCAGGACCCTGTGATAACCACCAACCTCTCAGTGGCTTATTTCTAGAGACTCTGGGACTTACCTCAAAGATCATCCGCTGAAGACCAAAACAGAATGTGGAGCCAAATGGGTTAGTGTTGTTTGGGGATGAGGACCTGAAGCCACAAAGGCAGAATTAAAAGGGGCAGACAAAAGGCAAAGCCAGAAAGCACCCAGTCCATTTTGGGATGTGGGCTACTGGCCAGCAGTCTCACATGATTGCTAGTGTGCAACAGTTTACCATATAGCATTCATGGTCCTTGGGTCAGGATGACCTCACCCAACTCAGAACCTACATAGTCCTATAGGGCACAGAAAGTCACTGTAGATCTGAATGGGAGTGGTGAGAAGTCAGGAGGCCCCTTTCAAGTGAGAGTTAGCCTCAAGATAGCCAGGATAAAGCCTGTAGGTAGTAATGCTGATGGTTTAAAAAAAAAAAACAAAACCAAAAAAAAGTTCAGGTGATCCAGTCAAGACTACTTCTCTTTCTGAATAACTAAGGGTAAGAGGGAAGTAGGGCGAAGGGAGATATACCAGGGATAACTTATCTGTTACCAATAAACATGTAGAACAGTCGGTCTAGTCCTAATGTGTAGGGTAGGCCAAGAAGTATGTTTTGGTAGTATCAGAAGCCTCTGGGCTTTGAAGATCAGGATAAGGGCTCAGAAATAACAACTGTCTACTTACCTGTGCAGAATAACAGGCTTCTCCACAGGATGGCCCAAGAGCTCATGGATATTGTCCCACTGCAAGAAGGAATAGGAGACTGCAAGGGTTGGCTGAGAATTAAACATACCTGTGCCCAATTATTCGCTCAGAGAACAAAGCCCCAGAATGGGGGCAGGCTCATACCCATCTCATTCTTTGGCTATCAGGTAGGAACACAGGAGCTCACCTTGCTATAAGTTGTACACGTTTCTGTCTGACCATCTTCATTTTCTGAAAAGAGGACACAGTGAGCAGGCTGGTAGCTACCCCCCACCCCAGCAGAATTCAGACTTAGCCACCCTTTGTACTGGGACTGGAGTGTGCAGGGAATATAGGCTGTTTAGAGCTCTAGCAGGTAAGAGATGGAGGGATAGAAGATGGTAGTCAGGTGTAAACTACTATACAAACTCACACCAATGGTGGGAACTAACTGGATGACCATCTGTAGATAATAAATGCTCCCCCTTCCAGAGGCCAATAATCCCTATTGTTGGTCATGCACAAAGGCTGTAAAGGTCCCTAGGCCAAGGAAAATTCACTCCCCAGAAAAAGGGGCTACTTCCAGAAGAGCTGAGCCCACTGGCAGAAACAATTAGGCAAAGGCTCCATTAACCTAACCACTACCAACTTCTTTGCTTGGATCTTTCCCCCTTCTCTGAGTGGAAAATGATTCCAAAACCCCTTCCTTACTCTAACAGCACTCCCTACTCACCTTTCTTTATGGTTAGTGGGATCTTGAACTCACAGCGGTGATAACTAGAAATAAGGCAGAGGAAAGTTAAGGCTGGGTCTCCTGCAAGTCCTGAATACTTCTGCATTCCAACCCTGTACCTCAGAAAAATTAAAATCATACACACTTGTGCAAAGTCCTGGCTCTGTGCCTCTGACATAGCATTCACTGGGGGAGGTCAGATTTAGGCACTGAACTCAATCAGAAAAGGGTCTAAGGAGCCTATCCCCTTGGACAACATATCAGTTTCTGATCCTATTTGTAAATGGGTACAAAGAGAGAAGTTAACGCATTAGACATTGTTGCAGGAACATAGCAGGAAATCAGTAAAGGTTCATTTCCCATGAAACAGCAAGAATTTAGGTAGAGACTGTAACTCAGTGGTAAAGCAAGAAAGAAAGAAAAAAAGAAAGAATTCAGATAGAGATAAATTAGTGAATACCCAAAGCCATAAGTTCTTTTTCCTTCAGATTTTTAGCTCACAGCACACTTCTCAGAGGTATAGGACTAGGGGTTAGGGTGACTCACATGTTAAAATTATAATGCCCAGGATAATTGGTATGTAGAACAAACTTCTTCACTTTGTGTGTATTTGCATCAAAAAGGATGTCCTGAGATAGAAAACAGAGATGCTCAAGTAGGCAGAATTCCTGAAGCAGAGCAGGGACATTTCTAACTTTCTGAATGTCATGACGTGCCAGAGCCTCCTGGCTTCTATTACACTCTTTATGGAAATTGGTAACCCCTGGACTAAGTTCCACTTGACTTCTAAGCACTTGGACTTGATGCTATCCACTGAACAGGTATGTCCGCTTCTGCTAGCTGCTCAGACCTGGGACCCAAGGGTTACCTCTAATTCCATCCCCATTTCAGTTGCCAATAAAATCCCATTAAAGCTGTCCATTCTTGCCAGCTTTTCTGCTGCTATCATTGGCCCATGAATTTGGGGTGGGGGTCAAGGTGTGAGTACCTCCTGCCATCCATCCTATCCCCAGTTTATGACCCCACAGCAGCTTCCCAACAACTCCTGGTTTCGCAGATAAGAAAACCTAGTCTCCTCTCTCTGAAATCTGTTCTTTCCTGACTCAGCACATCAGACCATGGATGCCTCAAAGCTAACTTAAAAGACCCATGGTCCAGACCAGCCCTGACTTGAGGTATTTCTTGCTGGTATACTGGTTGATAACAACCATTTCTCATATATGCATCCCATCTATCAGCTGGACTACTAAGCACTAATTACAGCTACCATCTCCATCCATGTCTTAAGTCCATGTACAAGGCTGTAGCAATGTTTCTGGGCCAATCCTCTAAAGACAGCATGTTCCCCTCAGAAAAGAAGTAAAGACAAACCAGAGAACCTAGTATTTCTTAGCATTTTTGGTGGAAGGAAATGTCTAGTTTGTCAAGAAAAGCCATCTGAAGCTAGGTTCCACAATTTCTAAGCACAGTTACAGTTACACAAATATGCTCTCTCATCCTGGTAGAAAGGAAACGCTTCTCTAAGGCATCACAACTTACCACTCCAAGAGTGAAGTAATTAAAAAAGTAGTCATTGCACTTGGAAGGAACTTGTTTATGAGGGGAAGGAGAATGAATTTTCATCTGTTTGGAAAAAATAACAAATTAAGATTCAACCCTTAATAGTTTTTAAAGAGCTGGGCATAAAATAAATAAATAAAGAGCTGGGCATAGTAGTGTACACCTTTAATCCCAGGACTTGGGAGGATGAGGCAGGAAGATTGCTGTGAGTTCCAGGACTGCCGGGCCTGCATAGAAAGACTATCTTAAATAAAAAAAGTGTGGGAAGTCTCAGCTCCTGGTTGAGTCCAGGAGCAAAATGAGGCAGATGTGGCTAACTATGGACTAGACTGATTTATAAAGAAAGGTAAGCACTATGGACAATCATTGAGGCAGGGTCATCTGACCAACAGGGGTAAGTAAAAAAAAAATCTTTCAATTTGGTTCACCATCAACTTTAAGTACAAATTTTATGGGAAAAGTTTACATTTACTGCTATTTGGATTTGTTTTTTGAGACAGGGCTTTTCATGCTTATCAGCCTCTTGAATTACTGGGATTGTAGGTAATCCACCATGTCTGACTTATATTTATTGCTGATGGGAGAAAGAGATGAATAAAAGGACTGGCTACTCACTCTATAAACACATTTCTCCTACCTTGTCTTCTGATTTATAGAAGACCTTATGTGGAGAGCCAAGCATGCTAAGAACATCTTGGCAGGAATCACCAAAATACACAGAACGTTCAAATACCCGCATCTTGGCATCTGCTAAGAGGCCAGGTCCGCAACCTGCAAATAACGAGAGGTTATTCTGGTTAAAATGAGGACTGGGAAGGCTGGCCAAATAGCTCAGTGATTAAAGCGCCTGTAAGCAGGCACAGGGGCCAGAGGTTCGATCCCTGGGCCTGTGCGCTGAGATGGCAATTGAGACTGGGCATGATGGTGCATGCCTATAATCCCAGCACTTGGGAGGCTGTAAACAGGAGAATCACTAAGTCCAATCTAGTAGTGAGACCCTGAACACACTGTAGACCCTTTCCTAAAATATAGAAGAGAAAAACAAAAACAAAAACTCAAAGGCAAGACTATATTCTGGTAGGAACACCAGTAACTAGAGCTTAATTAGGACTCTAAAAGAGATCACTATCTACTTGAAAATATTTCCAGGGACTTATTCATTCTTTTTTTTTTTTTGCAGAACCAGGGATTGAACTCAGGTCCCTGGCAAGAGCTTATTCTACTGAGCTACCTCCCCGGTCCCCAGGGACTTATTCAATGGATCCCTAAAAGTCATATGGATCTTCAATCATTCCTTTAACAAATATTTTTTGGAAGGATTTTTTTGGCTGGTTCAGGATGTCTTAAGGGTAGGTCTGGAAAGGCATGAGGATCTGGGGATCGAACCACAATATCCTGAGCCTGACTGGCTTTGCTTAAGCAGGGATTTAAACAACTGAGCTAATGGGTAGGCCCCTACCAAATATTTCTTGGTTCTTCTACTAAGCAGTATTCTTTTTTTTAAAATTATTTATTTTTGTGTGTGTGTGTGTGTGGCCAGCTCAGCCCACCAGGGGGCGTGGCTGGCCGGCATGTGGTGCTGGGGGATTGAACCGTGGTCCCTGTGCTTTGCTAAGCTTGTTCTAAGTAGGTGCTTTAGACCACTGAGCCATCTCACCAGCCCATAAGCAGTATTCTTTAACTTTACATTTTTTATTAGTACATATGTCATATATACTGATCAAAATTCATCATAGGGTTTTTTTTTTTTTTTTCCCCAGCCGGGGATTGAACTCAGATCTTTGCGTTTGCCAGTCAAGCGCTTATCCTACCTACTGAGCCATCTCCCCGGCCCCCATCATAGGGGTTTTGTATCTGTATGTAACATATCTTGATTCTTTTTTTCCCATTCCCCTCTCTTCAACCCTTCCTTCCCTCTCTGTTTACAAATGCTGTTTCCATTTTCTTTCCTTTTCTTCCCCATCCTTCCTTCCCCTTCTCTCTTTGTTCCCCTTTCCATTTGAACCAGCTCTTTCCACTTCCTAAAATCCTCCCCCCCTTTTTTGTATAGGGTCAACAGGATCTCACTACACAGATCTGACTTGTGTAGTGATCCTCCTGTGTTCAACCTCCCAAGGGCTGGGATTACAGGCACACGCCGCCATGCCCAGTCTCAATCCTCAATTGCTCTCAGCACCCCCAGGGGTAGGGCCAGCAAGGCAGGCCAGGGATCGAATCCCACCCCTTGCATCTGCCTAACCAAAATCTATCTTCCATTATGTTTTTCTGTTTACCCTTTGGGTTTCTCACACAAGAGAAACAAGGGGACATTTAAACTTGTGTGTCCAATTTATTTTGCTTAAGATTATGGTCTTGAGATGCATCTGTTTTCCTACAAATGAATCAAATTTATCCTTTACCAAGTATTTCTTTACTACCTACCACAGCCTAGGACACAGTATTAAGAGGCTGAGAAAATACTGGTGAGTAAAACTGTAGCACCTGCCAAAAGGTCTACCACTCAAGCTAATTGTGTGGTGGTAAAGATGACAATCTTATCATCACACTGCTATGCTAAGATTAGAAGTCACAGCAGCTGTAGTGGTGGTGGTGGCAGTGACAGCAGCAGGTATCATGGATGTATATGATGACACAAAGATGTGTATTAAGAAGTACTTCCTTTTTTTTGAGACAGGTCTCACTGTGCAATTTAGGGTACTCTGAAGTTACTATGCAGCCCAGCCTGGCCTTGAACTTGTGGCAATCCTCTTGTCTCAGCCTCCTGAGTGCTGGGATTACAGGCATGCATCGTGAGCAAAATATACTTCTTAGAGGAGTATACCCAATCAAAAATAGCCTACAAGGTCATTTCTATAGAAAAGACACAGTTGGGTTTGGGAGATAGCTCTGGCAGTCTAAGTGCCTGCCTAGCAAGCACAAGGACCCTAGTTTGATCCCTGCACTGCAAGCCATTCCTAGCCCTAAAGTCAAGCATGTGGCACATGCCTATGATCCCAGCGCTGGGAGGCTAAGACAGGAGGATCACTATGAGTCTGATATGTGTAGCAAGACCCTTTACAAAAAAAAAAAGAAAAGAAAAAGACACAGTGAAGCTGAAGCTGGGTGTGGCATACACCTGTCTGTAATCCCAGCACTCTGTGAGTCTGAATCAGGAAGACTACAAGTTTAAGCCCAGCCTGGGCAATTCAGCAAGATCATGTCTCAAAAATATAAAAAGGCCTGGAAATGTATATCAGTGCAAAAGGGCTGGGTTTAATCTCCTGTAGTATAAAGAAAAATGATGCTCTGCCCAAAATGAAAAAAAAGGAAGCCAAAAATCAGCTGTAGCAATTTCTAGTACCAGGACAACCATTAACATCACCCTACTCTACACAAGGTTTTTTCATGTGTAAACAATTTGTTATGTATATAGATGACTTCAGAGAATCAAATCTGAAATAACTAGGTACAGAATTCTCCAAATAACTCAACTCTATTCTTAGCACATATACACTGAGTGTCAAATAAAGGCTGTGTTTAAGTTAACTAGGTTCTGGAAAAGCACAATCATCATTAACTTTTATCAATAAATTCTGCAACTTAGGCAAGGCAGAGTAAGCTACAAAAGGCGGGCCTTGTGTGCCAGCCCTAACCCAGGGGTGTGCTGAGCCAGCGACTGAGACTGGGCATGGTGGCACACGCCTGTAATCCCAGTGCTTGGGAAGCTGAAAACAGAAAGATCCCTATGAGTCTGATTTGTGTAGTGAGACCCTGTAGATCCTGTACTAAATACATTTTTTTTTTTTTTTTTAAAAAAAGGCATAAACAGCCTTGCCAATCAGGGTCTGAAGTCTTCATTTCTCTGGGTACCAAATAACTGTGAATGTCTGGATGGAATTGAAGGGGACACTGACAGTTGAATTTTCTCTGGTTTTACTTTGCTTGCAGCCTATCCAGATTAAACTACACTGCTTCAGAAGACTACCTAGTTTGTGAAGTATGTCTTCCCATAAATTATTGCTGGGCTTAAGAGTGTTGAGCTGACTTTCTGTGTGAAAAGTATCATGGAGCTGGGTAAGGTAGAAGATGCCTACAATCTCACATGAAGCCAGGAATATTGTTATGAGTTCAAGGTTAGGCTGGACTACACAGTAAATTTAAGATCAGCCTAAACCATGGAGACCCTGTTTCAACTCTGTGCATGCCAAAAAAATTACCAACGACAAATGGATTGGGCAATAATTCTGTGAACCCTGACTTAACCAAAAATTTTTCCCCTTACCAAAACACTATGCAGGTGAAGTGTGACTATAGGAGAGCTTTTTTCAGGGAGGTAGCCAGAATTAGCTGATACCCTTACATTTAACAGGCTTCTCTCGCTGTCACCTCTGATGATTAATGTCGGATTCCCAACCACCCCATTTAAAGCAGTGATTCTTCTGACCTTGCTACCACATGCTGATTCTCTGTAAATAGCACAAGTGAAATACTTCTTTTATTTCTTTGGTGCTGAGAATGGAACCCTAGGCCTCTGGCAAGTATTCTACCACTTACTGTATCCTCAATTCTCAACATTCCTTTAAGTAGTTCTTCTATCTTGTTTTGAAAACCACATTTTAAAACATTTTTAACCTGGAAGCTATAAACTGTTGAGGGAAGTAAGTGCAGAGTTTACATACAGAATTCTTAATATTTAAGAACCATTGTTTCAGTGACTGATACCACTGTCTAAATTTATGAAAAAGTACTAGTTAGATAATGAGATGATGGCCCCTTTGTTGACTTTTAGGCTGTCTTTATGGGAACAAACTCCACAAAGGAGATCAAAGTCCTAATTAGGCACAGTCTAAGCCTCAAAGCAGCTGACACTAGTCAGTCATAAGGACACAAATGAAGTATCAGTCCTGGAAGGAAAAGCTACTGAAGGTGAAAGCTCTTGTTTGTGGTCAGCAGAAACACAATTCACTAAGTCCCTCTTGCCTGTCTACTCCAAAAACTTGGCATTAAGAGTAGAAGAGGGAAGGGCAGACAACACTGCAGCCCAAAGGATATACCACCAATTGCTACGAAGTTATATAAGTACATTGCAGGCTTTTATGCACGCTGAAAGAGTAGTACCATTGCTGTTTATTTTATTTTTTTAACATTTATTTAGTGTGTGTGTGTGTGTGTGTGTGTGTGTGTGTGTGGCCAGCTCAGCCCACCAGGGGGCGCGGCTGGCTGGCATGTGGTGCTGGGGGATCGAACCGCGGTCCCTGTGCTTTGTCAAGCTTGTTTCAAGTAGGTGCTTTAGACCACTGAGCCATCTCTCCAGCCCACCATTGCTGTTTATTAAGATTTGCTAAAATCAGGTATGACAGTGCATGAAACTTAAGAACTAAAGACCCTGTCTCAATACACTAACGAAAGCACTGGGAATGTGGCTCAGTGTGAAGGCCCTGAGTGCAACCCCCCAACCCCAAATTTGCCAAGGATATGACTATTTCTTGCTGGACTTGGTGTATGTCTATAATCCCAGCACTTGGCCGACTGAGGACAAGAGGACTATTGTTAGTATAAGGCTAGCTTGGACTGATTATACAGTGAGTTTAAGGACTGCCTGAACAACAACAACAACAACAACAACAACAACATTTTATCCCTTGATAAAATTAAACAAAACCCAGGCAGGTATTGCAAGCCTATAATCTCAGCACTTGAGAGGCTGAGGCAGGAGGACTGCCTTGAATATGAGACCAGCCTGGGTTACATAGTGAGTTCAAGGTCAGCCTGAACTCCATATAGAGACTGTGTTGCCAAAAACTAATTTTAACTGTAAGGATCTTCTCTCAAGTGTCTATCAATAAACTAAATGTATATGTTCCCTTAAAATTCATATGCTAAAATCTGAATTCCTTGAGATGATGGTATTATGAGGCAGGACCTTCAGGAGATTATTAAGTTATGAGAATAGAGACTTGATTGAGATTAATGCCCTTGTAAAAAGATCCCAGACACAGTAGAACATCTATGAACCAGAAAGTGGGCTTTTACCAGATGCTAAATCTACCAGTCTCTTTTTCTTGGAATTCCCAGGCTCCAGAGCTACAAGAAATAAAGTTATTATAGGCCCCTCAGTTTATGGTATTTTGTTACTGCAGCTTAAATAGGCCAAGATACATCTCAAAGTTTGTGTTTTTAGAATGCCCCTATGAATGCCTACAATGGGAAATCTACCCATCTCAAAGCCAGTAACTGACCTGCAGCAAGTAGGCGAAGTCGTAAACCTGAGGGTCCAGTTCCATCACGAAGAACATCTACACTCTCAGCATATACATTACCCATGAAACAGCTCAGTGGCATCATGGGAGCCCTGGGAGGCAGGCACAGAATGAGTAAAGTCTTGGTTCTCTCTCCCTGGTAGCCCACTGCCCTGGCATGAAGCCCCACACTTACTTGGTATCTTGTAGGCTGTTTCCGCTATAGATGTACATTCGTTTTACAGTTGCTCCATGGGGTATCTGGAGAGAAGCTAGACCATGGGCAAAATTGGGCTGCAAACACAAGTTTTAGTTGGTATACTATAGGTCATATAACTCAGGTTCTTGGTCAATAAACTCATGCTAACAATGTAAGTTCATCTTAAAGCAAGAAGTAACTGAAAATCAAGGGTACAAAAGTTCCAAACCCTTGGTCACCGAGAAAACTGAAGTGATAGAACCTTTTTTTTTTTTTAAATTTTATTTATTTATGTGTGTGTGTGTGGCCAGCTCAGCCCACCAGGGGGCGGGGATGGCTGGCATGTGGTGCTGGGGGATTGAACTGTGGTCCCTGTGCTTTGCGAAGCTTGTTCTAAGTAGGTGCTTCAGACGACTGAGCCATCTCACCAGCCCCAATAGAACCTTAAAGACGTGGCTGGATTTCTTTTTCTTTTCTTTTGTTTTCTTTTTTTTTCAGAACCGGAGGTTGAACTCAGGCCCTTGCACTTGCCAGGGAAGCACTTAATCTACTAAGCCATCTCCCCAGCCCCTGGATTTATTTCCAAAAAATAAGCCTGAATACCCTCTACAGTGGGCAGTGGTCCCTTTTTGGGAATGCTGGCTTGAGCCTTGTTTTCCTGTCAACTCTACCCTCTATGCCTCTCTGACCCTCAATGAACTCTGAGAGAAATCAGAGGCTGTCTACCCACACCCTACCCCACACAATGACTGCTGCTGATCTATGCCATATGGGCAACAGATACCAAGGAACAGGAAGGGCTAACCTCATACTTGGGAGCTTCAGTCCATGAGTCTAACTGAAAGGAGAAAGACAGTCCTCTGAAGTTGAGGTGAAATAGCTGCTCGGCAGAGTTGTACACTATGGGAATAGGAGATAAGAAAATGATACAGCTGATTGGCATCTGAAATCACTAATATAAACTAGCCTGGCAGGGAGTAATGACTAACAATACCTTTATGTCTTATTTCTGAACTGATTTACTAGGTTACAAACATGGGGAGGAGTTTTCCTTCACACACCCAAGCACCAAACCCACAATCCTCAAGTATGGTAGATAGTATCACCTGTTACAGTATGGCTAGGGGATGCCACTGATGACCAGGGAAATGAAATTAACTTAGTTTACCTCCAGGATGAGTTGCGCCAAAAGACTGGTCAATCTGTTCAATGGTAGGAGCTATGGCCTGAGAGTTGAAGTGCACTCCACTGAAAAATTTAAAAAAATTCTTTAATACTAGGCTTTGCAAGATGGGCTCACAGGTCATGGGGGATGGAAAAGTTATTTTTAAGATTCAGTGAGTACAATTACATAAAAATAAGACACTTAATCAAAAAGTTTCTAAGTAAGAAAAAACTAATGAAGTGAGAAGGTCAATTCTCATAAAGCTGATATACAGAGTAGCTCCTCTGGTTTTCCAAGATATGACGGACTTTGAGTTAGGAGACAGAGAAGACAGACCTTAGTATAAAGGCAAGACCAAAACACCACTGAACCTGCAGAGGCCAGTACGGTTATGTATTTGCTCATCTACTCTTTCATCAGCAAATACTGCCTGAGCTTAGTCCAGAGAGCAGATCTTCATCATGCTCTTACAAAGGGAAGCTTACTGAAGGAGTCTTCTAGATGCTAGTGTAGCACCATCCCACAGTATGGACTCAAGAATCTGTGAACTACATAGGTCAGTGGCAGTGAATCTATAAGCACTGTTAATTTGTTTTCCTTAAGACAAAAGATGTTAATGTATAAGTTGTTTTTTTTTTTTTTTTCTAAACTAAAACCTCAGCATTCCAGTTTAATTATAGTGTGCACTTTCGTGCTTTCATTCTAAAAATAATTTGGCTCTAAAATGGTGGTAGTCTGTATTCTCTATAGCCTTGGTTTTGGCATCTAAATTATCTGTTTTTTTCTACTTCTGCTACTGATGAAAATGCTAAAAGAGGTGCCAAAGACAGGCTGTGCAAGGGAGAGCAGTTATGTCTTAGGAGATTGCCACATCACCTCGAATGAGGTCATGCTTTGTTGAAAGTTAGATGACATATATGTGAAGTGTTTAACACAGCCTATCTTTCATGTGATTAATTTCCCCAGGAAACTGAGCAGACTGGGCTTCAGGAAATCAAAGCATTAGATTATAATCCATGTGCTGCTGCCAATGGAATCTTTTACTAACTTAATGAAGACAATAGATGAAGTCTATCTGTACCAAGCATGACCTATACCAGTGGAAGGGGAACTCACCAATATTTTAACTTTACTTTAGTCAAGTCATATACTTCAATCACCTAAAAAAAAAAAAAGTTAAAGAGTTGCTAATGTTTTCAAGCTGATTAAGATAAGACTAAAAAAGATTAAAAATAAATTTATAGAGATTAGGGGTATAGCTCAGTGGTGTGAAAGTGCAACATCAGGGGCTGGAGAGATGGCTCAGTGGTCTAAAGCACCTACTTAGAACAAGCTTAGCAAAGCACAGCGGACCACAATTTGATCCCCCAGCACCACATGCCAGCCCGCCCCGTCCCCTGGTGGGCTGAGCTGGCCACACACACACACACACACACACACACACAATAAATAAATGTAAAAATAAATAAATAATTTAAAAAAAAGAAAGTGCAACATCATAGATCCATTTCCAACAATAACAAAAACAATCCCCCCAAAACAAACAAACAAACAAAACCCCAACAAAAAAAAAAAAAAACCCGGCTAGATATAGTTCATGCCTGTAATTTCAACTCTTTTTTTTTTTTTTTTTTTCTTTCCTTTTTGAGATAGGGTCTCACTACGCAGTTCAGGCTGGCCTTGAGCTCACTTTGTAGCCCAGGCTGGTCTCAAATTCCCAACAATTTGCCTGCCTTAGACTCCTAAATGCTAGGACCAACTACTCTTTTTTTAAAAAAATTTATTTATTTATTTATTTATTTATTTATTTATTTATTTGTGTGTGGCCAGCTCAGCCCACCAGGGTGCTGGGGGATTGAACCTCGGTCCCTATGCTTTGCTAAGCTTGTTCTAAGTAGGTGCTTTAGACCACTGAGCCATCTCACCAGCCCCATGACCAACTACTCTTGAAGCTGAGGCAGAATTGCAAGTTCAAGGCCAGCTTGGGATATTGCTTAGTGGTAAAGCATTTGTATAGTATGGATGAGGCTAGGTCAACCAACCCCAATTATCAAGCAATCAATAAATTTCTTGAAGCACTGAATATAATCTTTTATTCTCATTTTAAAATTAGAGAAAAGACAGCCACGCATGGTGGGCATGCTGTGATCTCAGTACTTAGGAGGCCAAGGCAGGAGGACTGCTGAGAATTCAAGGCCACTGTTGGCTACATAGTGAGTTCAACACCAGCCTGAACTATATACATAGTGAGATCCTGCCTCAAACAACAAAATATTAATAATAAAGTAAAATTAGAAGGAAGAAAAATCTGGGAAGCTATTTTGATCCCATCTGTAGGAAAGACTTGTTTGTTCCTCCCTCTACAGGGCCCTCATGGCACTTAAATAAGCACTTTCTTCCATACTTTTATAAGCTGTTCACTGATATCGCTAAGTTAAGTTTCTTGACTGACTCATTAGTTTACAGGGGGAACATGCTCAATGCATGTCAAGCAACTCTATCTAGTTTGAAGCTGGTTAAGGGTAATATGAAACTTGGAAGCATGAAAAGCTGGCAGGAGTGGAGCTGGGCAAGAAGGCAGGAGAACAGCTGTGATTCACAAGATAACTATGGGCCCCTTTGGAATGCCTTGGTTATACTGGGTGTGGTGGTACACACTATAATCCCAGCAGCTGGGTGGCTCAAAGGGAGGATCACCATGAGTCTGAGGTCAGCCTGGGGTACATATGGAGTTCAAGGCCAGCCTGTACTACAACTACAAAGTGAGACCCTATCTCAAAAACAACAACAAAGAATTACCTGGGTTATGGCAGTGTACCATACCAAACTGGCATGTCATTTCACTGAGGTCAAGGCCTCATGTTGGCAGAGCCACCATTGTATCAAAGTCTTCTGGAAAGGCTACTTTATAACCTAATCAGGAAAATGGCTATGGCTATGGTATGCCACTGTTTAGAACTTACATTCATTCAACCTCATGACTCTGAGGCAAGAGTTTATTGTCATATGACTAAAATGTGAAGCCAAGGCATTTGAAAACAGTACACTAAAAACATCCTGGACTGAAACAGGTACTAGCAATGTACCCATGTATTTCAATTAAGACACCCTATACACCAGCAAGTTACATTTCTACAGTCAATTCTTTTTTTTTTTTTTTGTGCGGAATCGGGGATTGAACTCAGATCTCTGCGTTTGCCAGTCAAGCACTTATCCTACTGAGCCATCTCTCTGGCCCCATCTACAGTCAATTCTTAGTGGTATTACTTTCAAGACCCAGCACTACAAAAGAGCAGTTTCCATTTTTTATCTTTCAAGTTATATTGTTTGACACAAAAAATGAAGTAAAACAAATCAAGGTGCATAGGCCTGACTAAAGCCATTTGTTCCTATTCCGTACTTAGGGACCACTCTTTAGCACTTCTCAGTCTTTTCAACTACCCCCTCTCAGGCTACCTTCCCCCCTTTTTTTAGGCAAATTGGCACAGGTTCAGTTTCCTACATTGTGATGGTCTCTGAATAAAAAAGCTTCACACCCACTTATGAATTTCTGAAACACCACACAATAGCATAGATTAATCAGCTCTAGAAAGACTGGCTTAGCCAGACATGAAACTATAGTTATCGTTTATAGTTACCTTAAGTCTCTGATTGAAAGCGTCAAACAGCAGTTTGATCCCGTCCTGAGTCAGGTTAAGGATGAGGTCATGGCTTAGAGGAGACTATAAAACAAAAATAAAACATACTCTGAACAACTAATTTATTCACCAGTACCAGCATATACTAAAAGCCTTACAATATAAATGCAATGCACAGGGGATGCCTAAGAGCAGGAAGTCCTTCTCTCCCCAAACTAATAAGGCTTGGAGACCAGAAAAACTGTAACATGAATGCATAGTGTTTTGTACTTCTAGCTTGTGGCTTCTACTTCATAATATTGGCTGAAAAGAGCCTCCCCCTCCCCCAGGTTAAGTAAAAGTATCTGGAAGAAAGGAACAAAAATCATGTACTATATTAACCATTCTCATCTGAGGCTCCAGGGTCCACATCTGTTGTATCAGTTTATTGCTATCAAAATTACAGAGTATTCAATGAGCAAAGCCTGTCATGTGAAAAGACAAAGGATCTAAACTCAGCAGATGTTGCTTACACATGTCAGTGGAACCTATATCCACATCTATGCTCTCTGTACATGCTTCAGGGAACACATTAATTCTGTGAATGTCTTCAGCCAAATTCTACTATTAAGAAATAACCTGAGATCTGATTATATGTAAGACAGCACTCTTTTCTTCCTTCCCTCATTCTATATCACATGTGCTTCTTTCTGAAAAGCCTAAGATCTAAGGAGCCACATTTCTACATCTTCCCCTCAGAGCCTAGCAGGAGAGGAGTAGCAGTATAGGTGATGAACAGTGCCTTGACGACCTTGACTGACACTTAAAACTTTTCTGAACTCTGGTTTCTACCCAAGAAAAGATCAGAAATCCCAAGCACAAGTAGGGTGTAATGGCTCATATCCGTAATCTTAGCACCCTGGGAGGCTGAAGCAGGAAAATTACAAGTTTGACACTATGTTGGGCAACTTAGTGAGCCCCCTCTCAAAATTAAAAAAAAAAAAAAAGGGCTGGTGATATAGCTCAGTGGTACAGTATTTGTCTATCATGCACAAAGGCCAATCTCCAGCACTGAAAAAAGGAAAATAAAAAATAAATAAAAAGTGCCGAGGCTGTAGCTCAGTGAGAAAGTCATCAGTTCAAAGCCCAGTACCGACCCATACCCCCAAAAGAAAGACTAAGCACAGACATGCACACAGAACTTTTTCTCCCTCTTTCCTACTTCTGGCTCAATGTAATCAAGTCAAGGACTCAAAGTCTGAAGACTCACTGCTCTGACAAAGGCTGCCTAGAAGTAAAAGCAAAAACATCACCATTTAAAACATGACCCTTTTTGAAACTGACACACAATGATTCAAAAGATTCAGAGTTTTTTCAAGTGAAGCTTTTTACAGTAAACAAATGACAGAGATGTGGCTGTTAGAGACAGGGTTGGAATGCCAAGTTTCATTGCTGGTAGGCCTCACCAGGAATGTTTTCTCTTAAGAGCCTTCAGGGATTAGCTCAGACTGTGTTCTACTAATATTCACAACAGAGCAGACCCAAATAGTACCACTGTGCTTGGCAAAAACTAAGAGAATGTCATCACCATTTTCCAGTAGAGTCTACATAAATGTCTAAATTATTAAGTCTCAAGCAAGATAATAAAACAATGAACCCTGAACTTGGGTTGCTCTCAACCCAGAACACAAAGTTTCACTTTGTTGTTTTTTAAAAATTAATTAATTAATTAATTTGTGTGTGTGTGTGTGTGTGTGTGTGTGGCCAGCTCAGCCCACCAGGGGGCG